CGTTGGAACAAGTAAGGGAGGTCAATTGGGAGAAGTAACATCCCTGCCTGGAATACCATTGAGGTGAAACATGTTGGCAGTGATGGAGATATGGAGGACCTGTGATGGTCATTGTTGACAAAGAGGCAAAGCTGTGGTCTTGTCGTAGCCATTACTAATTTAGAGGCAAAACCTCAAACCCACATATCTGCCTCCCCTTGCCCTCTCATTTCAGCAGAACCCAGCAGAGGTGGAGCTTAGTTGAAGAAGCGGGGATGCACATTGGTAACAAGGAGGCAGTGCCAGAAACTCCCATGGTCAGAGCCCCACTGCCCTTCACATGCCACCTCCAGAGGATGGTGACCCAAGATGGAAGCAACCCAGAAACAGAGTGGACACGGAACATCCTGGGAAATATAGGGCACTTTCCATGACTGTGACGACAGAACCCCACCAACATTCCACAGGGGCCAGCCTTGCAGGAAAGAGAAAACAAAACCTTGTACTATAGCGCCATCTACTGAAAAACATAAGTAGAACTTCGGTTCAGAAATCTGCTGCATTGTTAAAAGTAAAGAGTTAAGTAGAAAAGAGTTCAGTATCTGAAATGTGCAGGCACAGAAACAATTCATTACATATCATGAATAACCAAGGTAGCAAGTTATCAGAGAAAGAAGATAAAATCTCCAGAAACAAAACTCAAGACATGGAAGACTGCGATTTAAATGAGAGAATTCCAGATAGCAGTTATGAAACACTCAACGAGATACAAGAAAACTCAGAGAGGCAGTTCAGTGGTCTCAGAACAAAATTAATGAACAAAAGAAACACTTTATTAAAGGAATTGAAACTATAAAAAACACAAACAGGAATTCTGGAGCTAAAGGACTCAATAAATGAGGTGAATAATGCATGAGAGAGCATTGGAAAGGAGCAGACCACAAGAAAGAGAAAATTATTGAGTTTGATGATAGAAAATTAGAATGTGTTGGGAGAAAAAAGACAGAACAAAAAAAAATAAAAAAGCTATACAAAAACTAATGACTTATTAGAAAGAAGAAAGGATAATGGGTATAGTAGAAGAGAATAAGGAGAAGGGAACAGAGAAAGTATTCAAAGAAATAATTGATAAGCACTTTTCAAACCTATGGAATGTGCTAAACATTTGAATGCAGAGCTAACAGAACACTTAATTAACTCCAGGCAAAAAGACCTTCTCCAAGATACATTATATTAAAACTGTCAAAAGTTAATTACAAATAAAGAATTTATAAGGCATCCACAGGTTAAAAGACTACAGTCTACACAGAGAATCCAATTAGACTATTGTCAGATTTCTTTCAGTAGAAACCTCACAAGCCAGGAGACAGTGGACAAAAATTTCTGAAATATTGAAAGAAAGAAACAACCAGCCAAAAAATATATATCCAGCAAAATCATCCTTTAGATATGAAGGAGAAATAAATGCTTTCCAAGACCAAACAAACAAACAAATAAAAACCTGAAAGAAATCACCACTAGAAGACTTGCATTACCAGATGTGTTGAAAGAAGCTCTTCTACTAAAATCATAAAATAAAAGCTATACAAAACTTTGACTAAAATGACAGATAAGAACTTCCAACTGACTTCAGAATAGAGCATTAAACACTTAATTGTAACATAAAAGTTGAAGTGGAAAAAGTCATTAAAAGTAACCTACTGTAATTTGGCAATGAATACACAACATCAAAAGGGATAATTTGTGGGAAAAAAACATAAAATGGGAGGAGGACAGGATTCAAGTACAGGTGAAAGAATGTAAGAGGCAATCAGAAAAATAACAAGGACTATTGTATGTGTAAGACATTTTGCAAAAGCCTAATAGTAACCACAAAATAAAAATCCAAAGCTGAGACATGAAACACAAAGGAAGAAAAAATGGGGAAAAAATCAGACAAAAGCCATTTCAAAACAAAACAAGTACCATGAGACAAAGATGGGCATTTTACAATGATAAAAGGAACAGTTTTTCAAGAAGACATAACTCTTATCAAGATATATGCACCCAACCTGAGAGCACCAACATATATAAAGCAAATGCTAATAGACCTAAACAAAAATCTGACACCAATAAGATTAATAAGAAATATAAATGCAGCAATGGATAGATCCTCCAAACAGAAAGTCAGTAAGGAAATATTGGCCTTAAATGACACATTAAAGCAAATGAATTTAATTAATATTTATAGAACTTTCTATCTCAAAATGAGAGTAGACATTTTTCTCAAGTGCACACAGGACATTCTCAAGGGTAGACTCTGTGTTGGTGCACAAAACTAGCTTCAATAAATTTAAGAAAGTTGAAATCATACTAGTATGTTTTCTGACCACAACAGTGTGACTATTAATCAAATACATCAAAAAAGCTGGAAAACCCACAAATATATGGAGATTAAACGACATGTTACTGACTTACTGGGTCAATGAATAAATAAAAGAAGATATCAAAAGTTACCCAGAGACAAACAAAACAAAAAATATACCAACATTTTTGGGATTCATCAAAAACAGTACTAAGAGGGAGGTTTATAGCATTACAGGTTTATCTCAAGAAACAAGAAAAATATCAAATAAGCAGTCTAACATTACACCTTACAGAATTAGGAATAAACAACAATTGAAGCCCGAAGTCAGTAGAAGTAAGGAAATAATAAAAATCACAGTAAAAAATAAATGAAGCAGAGAACAAAAAGACAATGGAAAAAAAAACAACAACTTGAAAGGTAAACAAAATTGACACACCTCTAATTAGAGTCACTAAGGAAGAAGAGAGAAGACTCAAATAAATAATATCAGAAATGAAAGAGAAAATGTTCAATGGACAACACAGAAATACAAAAGATTACACAAGAACACTCTAAAACACTATATACCACTAAAGTGGATAACCTGGAAAAACCAACAAATTGTTGAAAGCATACAAACTTTCTAGACTGAATAACAAAGAATTAGAAAACCCAAAGAGACAAATAACTAGTAAGAAAATTGAAACTGTAAACAAAAATCTCCAAAAAAACAAAAGCCCAGAAGCAGATAGCTTCACTAGTGAACTTCACCAAACATCAAAGATTTATTACCAATTATTTTCAACCTCTTCCAAGAAATTGAGGAAGAAAGAGTACTTTATAACTCTTGCCTGGAAGAGTCACCAAAACCAGGCCAGGAAAATACACACACAAAAAGTACAGGTCAATATCTCTGATGAGCACAGGTGCAAAAATTCTAACCAAAACACTGGCAAATCTAATATAATACATTCAAAAGATAATACATTACAATCCAGTGGGGTTCATGCCGGGGTACAAGGATGATTCAGCATATGCAGATTGAACAATGTTAAATACCACATTAACCAAATAAAAAATAAAATTCAAATGATCATCACAATAGATGCAAAAAGAGCATTTGACATGGTACAACATCCATTTTTAATAAAAGCACTCAATAAAATAAGTACACAAGGAAATTACCTCAACATAATAAAGGCCATATATGACAACCCCTCAGCCAACAGCATACTCATTAGTGAAAAACTGGAATCTTTCCCTCTAAGGGAAAGGATTCCCTTAGATGCTGACTTTTGCTGCTGTCATTTGACATAATATTGAAAGTATTAGTCAAAACCATTAGGGAAGAAAAGAAATAAAAGGCATCTAAACTGGAAATAAATGAATAAAACTGTCATTCTTTGGAGATAACATAATTATACGCATAGAAAAATCTATAGGCTCTGTATTAGAAATAATAAATAAGTACAGTAAATTTACAGAATACAAAATCACTTCTCAGAAACCTGTGTTTCCAGATACAACAAATACAAAAAAAAAATCCCACTTATAATTGCATTAAAGAGAATAAAATAAACTTGAAATAAGAAAGAACCTGTACACTGAAATCTACAGGACATCATTAAAAGAAATTGAAAAAGACATAGAAAGATATTCCATATTCATGGATTCAAAGAATTAACATTGTTAAAATATCCATATTACTTAAAACAACATACAGATTTAATGAAACCCCTAACAAAATTCCAATGACACTTGCATAGAAATAGAACAAAATCCTCAAGTTTGATCAGAGATAAGGTAGTTCAGTTGAGATTATATGTTCTCAGGAAGAGAAAGAAAAAGATGAAGAAAAATGAACAGAAAGTGATAGAACTGTGGGCACTGTCAAATATACCAACATATTCAAAATGGGAGTATGAGAAAGTGAGGAGATAGATAAAAGGCAGAAAGTTCCTGGACACAACTTCTCAAATTTGGTAAAAAAATATTAATTAAAACATCCAGGGAGCTCTATGAATTCTAAGTAGGATCAACTCAAATAGATCCACTCAAAGTCACATCATAAGAAAACTGTTATCAGGCAAAGGCAAAGGGGAAATCAGAGAAGCAGCAAAGAAGGGACTCATTATATACAAGGAAACTTAATAAGTTTAATAACAGCTGATCTTTATCGGGCACCATCGAGGCCACAGAGAGTGAGTTGAAATATTCCAAGTGATGACAGAAAAACACCTGTCAACGAAATCTATATGCAGCCTATAAATAAATGAAGAGACTTTAATATAAATGAATGATTATCTATTTTAGCAAGATATGTTTTGGTAGTATTTAAAGTTATGTAACAAAGTAATAAAAGTATTTTCACCAGGGTAATAATTATAACTGTTAGTGGTAACTGATAGTGACTCTATTCTTCCTGTATTCTAAATTTTGTTTAACAATATGTATTTTTATTTAAATAAAAGAATAAGAAATGTTACATCATACATCATAAAATAAGCCCAAATATATTATTACATGTTTCTTCATATGTTTCAGGTGGAATCCGGATGTTTTACTTAAAGGTGTAGAAAAAAGATAACAAGTTTATTTTTCCTACTTGGCTGCTAAGCAGTTCCTTTCCACAATGAAAAGAATGCTACAGAAGTAATTTCATGGTATGTCATCAGGTCAGAATTATTGCTGTTACCTGCGAGCTTAAATAAACTTTATAGGTCTGGTCTTTCTGCCGAATATTGCTGTAATTTTCTGCTAGCACTGGTATGTCTGGATTGTCATTTTTCACTTGATAAATTATGTGCTCATATCTTGCTGAAGACTCCAATGGTTCAATTCCATAGCTGATATTTTCAAACTGAAGGAATCCCCTGAATATTTAAAAAATAATGATATGAAAATAATGATCCTATCAAAGTTATAATCTAACATGTTGTATGAAATGATGAAGCACAGGAGGAAACCTGTTTTAAACCCACTTTTCCCCATTTTTTGGTCTACAATTAATAACTGTTACCACATTTGCCATAGTTTTTCTCACATATTAAGGAACTAAATATATTAAAAAGTATTTTGTATTTTCTGTATAGTAATAACATTCATTAAAAATATATTATGTAAGGCCAAGTATTTGCTGGGAAACAAAGTATTTTGTTGAAAATTTCAAGAATAAAGGTCCTGCTCTAACAGAGGTAAAGACAGGGAAAAGCAGAAACATAAAGGGCATATCAAAAGAGGCTGATATAAATAAAAACCATTTTGAGAGAATGCCAATTTTCTGAGTTGACAGGAGTAAATTTTGGAAATCAGACAAACAAGAACCAAAAGTAAGTTAGAGAGTGTCTTATTTGTTCTGGACTTGTCTTCCTCTGATAAGCTTACCACCTTCCTCTTGCCATCATTAATGATTAAAATCACTTTTCTTTGCCCTTTATCTCTGAGGAAAATGTCTTTTACTCACCACCCCCACCTCCCTCTTTTTTGGCAACCATCAGCATGTTCTCTATATCTATGGGTCTGTTTGTTTTGCTTTCTTTATTCATTTGTTTTGTTCTTAAGATTCCACATATAAATGAATTCATATGGTATTTGCTTTCTCTTTCCGACTTATTTCACTTAGCATAGTACCCTCTAGATCCATTCATATTGTCACAAATAACAAGATTGCATTCTTTTCTATTGCTGAGCAATGCTCCATTGTATATGTACCACATCTTCTTTATCTATTCATTAATTGATGGACACTTAGGTTGCTTCCATACTTTGGCTATTTTAAGTAATGCTGAAATAAACATACGGAGACGGGTATTTTTTCAAATTGGTGCCTGTTGTTTTCTTTGGATAAATACCCATAAGTGAAATTGCTAAGGCATATGGCAGCTCTATGTTTAATTTTTAAATTAAATTTATGGTGGTGACATTGGTTGATAAGATTATATAGGTTTCAAGTGTACATTTCTATGATACATCATCTGCGTATTGCATTGTGTGCCCACCACCCAAGTCAAATCTTTTTCCATCATCATATATTTGATCCCCTTTACCCTTTACTATGTGCCCCCACCCACCTTCCCTCTGGGAACCACAGTACTATTGTCTGTGTCTCTGAATTGTTTGTTTTTCTTGTTTGTTCATTTGTTGCTTTCAGTTTTGTATCCCACATATGAGTGAAATCACATGATTCTTAACTTTTTCTAACTTATTTCTTTTAGCATGATATTCTCAAGATCCATCCATGCTGTTGCAAGTATCTGTATTTTATCTTTTCTTATGACTGAGTAGTATTCTATTGTAGATGCATATCACATTTTTTTTAATCCGCACCTGAAGACATTATTTTTATTGTTTTTAGAGAGAGAAGCAAAGAAAGAGAGAGAGAGAGAGATCAATGTGAGAGAGGAACATCTGTTGGTTGCCTTCTTGCATGTGTCACAAACAGGGATCAAACATACAACCTGGGTATGTGCCCGGACTGAGAATTGAACCAACAAACTTTTGGTCTATCAGGCAAAGCTCCAACTAACAGAGTGACACCAGCCAGGGATGTATCACATCTTCTTTAACCATCTACCAAAAGACACTCTGATCCATGTCTTAGCACCATGAATAATGCTGCAGTGAACATATAGGTGCATATGTCTTTGCAAATAAATGCGTAATTTTTTGAGGCACATCCATACTGTTGTCCATAGTGGATGCACCAATGTACAATTTGCGAGGGTTCCCTTTCTCCCCACTCTTGCCAGTACTTGATATTTGTTGAGTTTCTGTGTGTGTGTGTGTGATAGGCTGTCTGACAGGTGTGAAGTGATATGTCATTGTGATTTTGATTCACATTTCCCTGATGATTAGTAACGTTGAGCATCTGTTCATACGCTTTTTGGTCATCTGTATGTCCTCTTTGGACAAATGTCTGTCTAGTCCTCTAAGGTACCTTCTTAATTAGTTGTTTTATGTCTGATACTGAGTTCATCTTAACTGCGAGCATATAGTATGTGTCTGTTAAAAAACTAAGTGAGGTCTTTTTCCATAACTATTTAAAATGACTGAGAGGTAATTCAGCTATAATGTTTAGAAAATGTTATGAACTTTCCTTTACTGAAACTATTCTTTTCTGCACAGCATCTTGAAAATACCTCCAATCAGATGTCCTTGGAGTGATTTAATTTTACTTGGTACTTAGGTCTAGCTACTAATATTAATTTTTTAAAAATCTGGATTCTTTCTCAACCTTCCAAGATTTGTATCTGCTAGCCACTAAATTTCATCTTGAAGTATATCCTAAGTTTTCCATGTGTAAATATCCTCTAAGATGTTATTACCGGAGTCCAGAACATATGCTGAGTGTTGCAACTGAATTTGGAAAATTGGCAACATATCCTCGGTAATAGCAATGCATCTGAAAAATAGTATAGAAAAACAAATAAATAAATTATTTATGAATAAGATATGGGTGGTCAAACATTACAGATGCCTTAAAATCTTATGAGAGTTTAAAATAAAGTTGTGTCTCATGCAGATTTATTAATGCATATTTTAAGAGAAAAAAGGTTTTGACAACTCTCCTGACTTTGTAAACTACCACATAAGTGCCCATGAATATTATATCAACATTTCATCTTATTTCTATGTACAACAATCATAAGTATATGATATAAAATATATATACATATATTAAACTTCAAACATAGAACATATCTCAATGGTAATGATATGTCCACTTCAATAAAGAAACATATGGTAATAAATGTCTAAGACATTTGAGTCTTACCTTAAAATATGAAGAATCTGTATGCAAAGACCAAGTTTCATTAAATGTATAAACCAAAAAATTCTTGGATAAGAACGAGCTAAGTAAAAACAAAAATCAAAATGGTTGAGTCATGAATTTCATATAAATATAAACATTACACTAATAAAAATAAATGTGAAATTTATTAGAATCATATAATAAATAATGTGCTTCGGTTAGAGTAATTTAGTGTGAAATATATGTTTAAATTCATAGAACTGCTGTACCAGGCTTTCTTAACACTGAAATAAACTCTGTGAATCCTCTGTATCAGATAAGTGTGTGTGTGCCTGTGTATGTCTTCATTCAACACGTATTTACTGAGTGCCTCCTATCTGACAGATCCTTTTTCAGGCACTGGGACACAGCAGTCAACAAAAGACAAAACCTTCAGGAAAGTGAGAGACACACCCACTGCTAACATGTTAGATGATGATAAATAAAACCTGGGATAAGGATATATGTTGCAAAGTGTGGATAGGATGTCATGGAAGGCTTACAGATATTATGATACATTAGGTGATTAAAAACTTGAAAACACGCCCATAGATTTGCACTGAAATGCTATTCCAGACAGAATTAGGAGAAAATGGAAAGACCCTGAGGCATAAATATGCTCTGTGTATACAAAGAACACCTAGAGGGCAATATGCCTAGAGTGGAGTGTGGATTGAAGACAAGACATGATGTGGAAGATGGTATCATAAAGATGAGAAGCCACTGGAATATTCTGAGCAATAAATGATCAGATCAGACCAACATTTCGATAGCATCAGACTGAATGCTAGTTGAGAATGTACAGAAAGAGAGATACCAGTTACGCTGTTCAGTCATCCAGACAAGATGTGTCAGTGGCTTGAACTAGGATAGTAGCAGTGGTGGGGGTCTAAACGTGATATTACCCACATTATTTATGTGGAGATAGAACACATGGGATTTAATAAGCTATTGAATGTGGGGAAAAACAAACAAGGGATCTGTGGTGTTCTGGAAGCCACATGAAGAAATTATTCTGGATAGGAGACATTGATTGGTTATACAAATGCTGCCAATTAGTCAAGAAAAGTGAAGACTAAAAATTAACTGGCATTCAAAAACATGAAGATCATTGGTGGTCTTATAAAAAAAATGTTAATGGAGTTGTAGAGACACTCAAGACCAACATAAGTTTAATGATTATGAATTAGGTGAAAACAGTCATGAATTAAATGAGGATAATTTTCTCTAAACTTCTTCAACCATAAAGTTAAACTTGTTCAACTCCCTGAAGATGAGGTTGTAATAAGTATATATTTTCAAAGAGACAGGCATAGAGGAGTCTCTTTGATTCTATTTATATGAAAGGTTGAGAAAATACAAAATGAGAGACAGAAAGTATACTAGTTCTTACCTGGAATTGTGGTAGGAAAAAGATATTAGGTGTGAAGTGGCATGAGGGGAATGAAATGTTCTAAAAATGGTTTATGTTTGATGGTCGTAATACTATGTAAAAGTATTAAAAATTATTTGACTGTACATTTGACTGAGTTTTATGACATATAAAGTGTGCCCTTTAAAGTTAAAAATAAATACATATATAATTAATACATTCATAAAATGTATGGTACTAGTTGAATTTCCCACCAATAACCACTTGATGTGTTAATTATGTTTGAGTTTCCATCAGGTATACTTAATATCTATCACAGTTCTTGGGTTTTGTATCTTTACAACTCAACTAAGGATTTATGAATATATAGCTCATTCCTAAATTTGAAAATAAAAAGCTGAATAATTAAATACGACATTCTCATATGACCTAAGATTCAAGACCTAATGAATCCTACCTTGCAAATGGATTGATTAAACAGTGTGCATTTTCTTCATTATTATATTTAAATAATAACAAAATCTTTTTAAAAATAAAACTTAAGCTTTAGGGGAAAATCAAATCTTACTGTTTTGTGAGATGCAGAGTGTATGGTTTTCCATCAATTGTAATCATATAAATCACCTAAAACAAAAATAAATAAATAAAGATGATTAGTAAATCAAGAATATACAAAGTAGCCCCGACCAGTGTGGCTCAGTGGATTGGGCATTGTTCCACAAAGCAAAAGGCTGCTGTTTTGATTCCCAGTCAGGGCACATGCCCGGGTTGTGAGTTCAGTCCCCATTTGGGCCATGTACAACAGGTAACTCATCGAGGTGATGTTTCTCTCCCTCTTTTTCTTCCCCCCTTTTCCTCTCTCTAAAAATTAATAAATAAAATCTTTAAAAAATATATATGAAAGTAAAGCTATTTTACTCATGTTGAAAAAGACTCAGTCCATTTTAAAAATTAACATATTCTTCAGACTTTATTATTCAAAATAGAAGGAATTTATTATTATTACAAATTCAAGATTAGGGTAATGAACTTAATATGTAGGGACAACTTTTTGAAAAGAAACATCTGAAAGTCACATTTTGGAAAGATAATTTTTAGCCTTATTACTACTATAAATTAATCATTTCTATTTGAAAATTATATACATTTTTTAGTCAAGGTGAGTGAGACATGGCAGCAGGCTAACAGTCTATGCTAAATGGTAAAACATTTATAAATACATATATACATACTGCCAAGTACGCCAAGAGCCACTTCACAATCCTCTCCATATTAAACCATGGGGGAAAAAAGACTTGGGAGACTGAAGCTCTCAAGCTTCATTTATGCTACATTTTCTCAAGGCTGTAGCCAACCCTCTGTTTTCTTAGAGTGTGTAAAGAAAATCCGGTGTTTTTACTCCTTATAAGGTAGGCTTTTTCATGGCTTAGAGAAGTTGGCTTCTCTGGAAGGAGGAGAAGGGGCTGTTTGATGCCAGCCATGAAAATCCACAGGCGGCTGCAGTAAATCTACAAATTCCTGGTTGAAGAGAGATGGCACCTAAATGAGAGGAGGAAGCCCCCTCCCTTTCCCCTGCTCTCCCTTCTCAGGAGAAGCTACGCTTTCCCTCCCCTGATCTCTTTGTTCTGCTTCCCCTCTACATTCTTACAAAAACCCTCACCTACACTAAAATTTTAAAATGGGTTTTTCTGAGGACAAGAGTACCTGCTCTGTTTGAATTGCAGGCAATTTGAATAAAACATTTCTTTTTCACCAGCAGCTATCTCACGAGTTTGGCTTTTGTTGCAGCGGGCAGCCAAACGTGGGTTCAGTGACAAAAACAGTGCCCATCATCCTAATGTGGAGACGTCCAGGAATAGGTGGGTCAGTGGACGGTCTCCACAAAGGCAGGCTGACATCTACAGTAGCATATCCACAACTTCTTTTCAAGAAAAACTAATTTTAAGAAAGATCTTTGATTTTGAGAGGAGAAAGTCTGTAAACTTGTGAGAGGGTAGTGCTGCTTACGTCTGGAAACACCCAGGAAGTACAAGACTCAGAGACTAGATGCTCAATTACCCAGAACAGAAAATATAATACAGGGCTTAGCAAATATTCCTTGCTCCTCCTTCAGAGTTAGACCTTTTTCACTTCCCTTTCTCAGTTATGTGGGTTTCACCAGTGCCCTCAGGCCAAAAACCTCTTTACTCTTTTGCCAAGAGGCTAAGGATTTTGCATCATAAAGGTGGCAGAAGAGATGAGTTTAGGTAAAGTTTCCAAAGTGGGGTTTGCTTTTGCAGGTGGCTAAAGGCACTAGAACCACCTCGGTCTAATGGCCTCCTTATTTAACTATTCTAACGGTATATAGATACAGAATGTATTACAAAAAGTCAACAATCAGCTGAAATAACTCTTTTGTTTTGATGGTTATTCTCAAACTATTCCATGATAGCTTAACCTTAATATATACATATACATCTCACATGCCTTCTGCGGTCATCTGATTTCAATACTTGCTTAAAGATGGAGCCTTGATTAATGCTTAATATGACCTAACATAAATTTATTTATATAAATTTTGATATATATAAAAATCATTCTTTTATACATATATATAAGGAACATACAAAGGGCGAGAAATAGAGAAGCAGTCCCTAATATTGAAGAGCTGGCTTGGTACTAGCCTTGGTGTTCTACTGTTGAACATGAACATTTTTACAGAACATCAACATCACACACAGCCACTGTGAGAAACTGTGAATCAAGACAAACACAAGATCACTGTATAATCATGTCTGACTACAAAGAAAATACAAACATTTTGTAAGTCAGGAAAATAGAGCAATTTTGCCCTGGTTGGACCAACACGAGTGGTTCTTTTTAACCAGTTACAGCTGTAGGATTTTTCTAGTCTTCTCTTTTCTTAGATAAGACTTACTAAGATGCACAATCACAGAATTAGCTCTACTTCCGGACCACATCCAAACCAGAGCAAAGGTTGGCTTCCTCAGACCTTCCACAAGTCCTCCAACAGCAGCTGGAAGCTTTTAAAGCCTTTCTAATGCACTCTTGCTGAGATGTCCCATGGTTCTCCACGGTGTGCTGTCCCTCACTGAGCTGATCAGTAAAACTAACTTGTTTAACTACAGGTGTGTTCCCAATGGTCTTTGATAAGAAGGCATTGAAAGGCAGCCAGCTCGCCTCTGCTGAGGAGTTTCTTGCCAGTATTATACCAATAGCAGCACCTATAGCTTGCACAAATATATTTAGATACACCTTAGAAATTTGGACACTTGCATAAGTTCTGCAATATCCCAAAACAAAAGCCATTGCTTTAGTAGAATATGTGGTTATCATGATAAACTGAAAGCCCATAAAAAAATAATCTTTTATATGTTTAATAACCAAAAAAAGACACAGGGTAATCTGGAATTAAAGGAAGACAACAAGACAGATAAAGGGAGGTCTACTGTAAGAAATGAAAGGAGAACATTAATCATATTTCATCACAGGAAACTGGCTTCTGGAATTGCATAAACACAATTCAGAAAACATAAATAGGTATTAAATACTCTTGTGAAAGCATTTCATGTCCTGCATAGTTGCTATATGCTTTCCGAAAGGCAATCTGAAGTAAACAATTTAAAGTTTAAAGTGATCATGCAACGACAATGTCCAAATTCTTTGAAATAAATCAGAAAATATCTTTTTGTCAATAATTTTTCAACTGAAGGTAGTATTTGTAACGGAATTGGAGTTATAAATTCAAAATTAAATTCCGTATCCTGAATGTTGTGGCTTTGATGCTCTTAATATTTTAATCCTCATTATTAAATACATATATGATATATATTTATCATTTGTGTCATAAATATATCCATATCCTTGTTTAGAGGGTTAATCTGAGAATTAAATGAAATTTGTATATAAAAATACTTCTCCAAAGACAATTATTTTACTGCTATTTTCAATTATAATTTCACATACATTTTACTTTGATCATTATTGTTCATGAATAGAACAAAATCATGATAGGTTCCATTACTGCATGACAAAATGGTTAGGAATTCTTAATTTTTTACTTATTATTTCAATAATTGTTTCTTCAACATGAATTTTTTCCCCAGAGTTACCATGTATTGACCACATCAATTTAACTACACGGAAATCTAAACTCTTGCATTATGACTTTTGGTTTCTAATATCAAACATAATGACATCAATTTGAATTATTCAAGACTAAATGCCTTCCATTTAATTCCTTTTTCATATGGCAAGTAAGCATTTTTTCAACTTTGTTTTCTAGTTAATATTTATTTATTGTAATATTTTTCATCATAATAGAGAAAATATGACATTTTTATTTTTCCTTTTCTTTTTCTTCCTTTGGCCATATTTCTACTAAGGCTGGTGTTTCTGAGTAAAAATTTTTTGATATAAACTTAGCTCAAGACCAGTTTCTCTGTTGCTGGACCATTGTCACAATTATTTCATACTGATTTTTTCTACCAGTATTTTTCCTGTAAAATTCCTACCTGTATTTCCTGGAAAACAGTGAACAATATGTCAGAGAGATGGAAAAACGAAAGGAAGCCTGTGAGTGAGCAGCAGAGGTGTAATAAAGGGAGGAGCAAGATATACTGAAGCAAAATGGCACCAGGAAAACATTTTGTTTTGCAAATAAATACAAATCGGTATGAATGACTCGATACAAAGGTAAATTCAAATAGTCTTAAAATTTTAAATTGTAAAACAAATATTTACCTGCCTCTTTGTACTTTCACTCTTATTTGACCTTATTTTCTGTGGAACTGTGACATGTAGGAATATTCCTTCGAAATCTGCAGCGAGAAAATGGGCTTGTTTCCAACAACAATCATCTCAGTCAAGAACGGGTTCTTGAGTCCACCACGGTGGGGTCTAAAATTGTCAATAAACTTATTTATATTTGTCCTCCCTCCTCCTTGGTCCAAAGCTTTCACTACATTTTCAAAGCCACATTGAAAACTGCTAAGATACAAACAAACAGATATGAGACACTGTCATTCTACAGGACCATCCTCTTCCTCCTAGAACTGCGTCGGGACTATTTCCCTCAGGACCCCGAGGAATAAACTGAGGGCCGTGAACATACCCTTAAATCCAATGGCCATAGAGTTAAGGGAGCCGAGAAGACCAGCCTAGTCTCAGCAGCCGAGACCCGGGACCCCTGATGCGGGGTGGACTCCTCGGGTTTGTATTAGGCCGGGTTTGGGAGACATGGGAGAAGGCATCAACAAGAGATCCAGGAAGGAGGTGTAATAGGGGTCCCAGAGCTACAGGAAACTGTTCTCCAGAAAGAGCCCAGCCTTGCTCAGAGGTGCAATGAGTAGACCAGGCTCCCAGGGTCTTACCCATGAGGGCGCTCAGCTTTCCCAGCTCAGCGAGCAGTGCCAGGAGAAGGAGCATGACCGGGCCAGAGCCAGGAACACCGCCGAGGCTGCAAGCCGTTGGGTTCTTCCGAGGCTCGTGGGCAGGAGTACTCGGCGCGAGGGCACGGGGCACGGGGCACGGGGCACCAGGGCCCTGGGTGAAAGCTGTAGCTGCCTTCTGCCCTAGCTGGCCCTCCCTTGGGGATCCTGCTTGTTTGGGCTCCTGCCCCAGGGCTGGGAAAGGAAACTCCAGATAGGAGTGTATGCTTTTGTTTACAATTGGTTTGTTTGGGTAAAGTTGCATTGTTTAAACCCTTCACCACCCCACGTCCCAGCTCTTCATCGCCAGGACCCCGTTTTGGCCCTAAACCACCCTGACCTATTGCATACAAGTGAGTAAGAAATTGGGGGAGGGGTGGGAGAAGGAGGGGGGGAGGGGGGGGAAGAGAGAGAGAGAGAGAGAGAGAGAGAGAGAGACTTTATTCACTTAGCACAGCACATTGGTTTCAAGCTGCATCCATTTGTAACCATTTTATGGCTGAAAAATATTCCATTGTATGGCTAAAACACAGTTTTTAAATCTACCCTCAGTTGATGGACATTTAGAAAAGAAAACTCTTGGCCTCTGTGGTTAGGAACTCCCACTGCTGACCCAGGAACATATTTGTGTATTGATGAAGAATCCATAGATCCTAATTATCTCCACCCCTGGGGTTTTCTAACCCCTGTATAATGGTTCGAAGTGCAGAAGTGCACCTATCTCAGTAAGAGTAACATGGGAAGAGGGGACACTAAAGCAAGAAAATCTGGCCCACAAGAGCTCACCTTCAAGTAAAGAAAGAGCAGCAAGTCTGGGTGCCCCCAAGGGGCAAAGATATATCCTGTATCTCAAATTACATAAGGCCACAGAACTAGGGCCTAGAGACAGAACAGTTATGACCAGGAACTCAGTTTGAGCAATTCCTGAAAGATGGAATGGATGCTAGAGACTACCTGGGTCTTGAGCCTGGCCTGACCTAGCAGCACGTCAAAATCCAAAGCCTGGAATGGACAGGGAGGGGAATCATGAACTATGGAGAGATGTGGATGGTAGGTGTCCTCTCTTGAGATGAAAGCAGTTAACAGGGTCACAGGCATCTGAGGGCGGGCAGCACAGTGGACAATAAAATGTTTTCTTCTTGGGATGTAAGAGCCTCCCAGGTTCAAAAGAGACTGAAGAGCTTATGTTCTACTAAAGGATCTACGAGGTGGAAGAATCAACAGGCACAAGCCTACACATATTTCACTCACAGGATTTTGGTTTGTAAATTTGAAACTTTTAAGCCAGGAATTTTTAACTAGTATGTCAGAAGAATATTTAAAACATGCAATACCTGACTATTTCAGTCAGGGGCCCTGACCTCTTTTTCCTTAGATTGTCAGGTAAAAAAATGACGGCAGTCAACGAAACAATAGCTGTCTGGTGTGAATGAATCAAAATTCTCCCAGCTTGCATTTATGGCCTCACCAGGGTTTCCTTCCTTTAGCTGACAAAGGAAGGGAATATGTGAGCATAGTGTACAGATGGTTCTGTATGGTATGCCGGTACCACCTGAAAATGGACAGCTGCAGCACGATAGCTCCCTTCTTAGACGTTCCTAAAGGTCAGTGGTAAAAGGAAATCCTTCCAACAAAGAACAACTTTGGACAGTGTGTATGGATGTGCACCTTGCTTAGTAAGAGGAATTGCCGGACATGTGATTATATACCAATGTAGTTTGGCTGGATGGCCAGGGAATTGGAAAAAACATGAATGGAAATGTTAACGATATTTGGGGGAAGTATGTGGGTAGATCCTTATAAGAATGGGCAAACAATGCGAAGGTAGTGTGTGTGGATTGACCTCTATGAGTAGGCAAAAATCTTGAAGATGTTTGGGTCCCATGTGGATGTTCACTAAAGGGTGATCTCAGCAGAGGAGGATTTCAATAACCAGGGGGAAAGGAAGACCCATTCTGTGACTACTAGTCTGCCTCTATCCCCAGCAACATCTGTTACTGCCCAGTGAGCTCACTGTGGTCCTGATGGCAAGGGTGGAGGTTATGGATGGGCTCAGCAACATGGAATTTTACTCACCGAGCCTGACCTGGCTACAGTCACTGCCAGGTACCTAACCTGGCACAATGGAACTTCAGATAGGATGTCATTCACCAGGATGATCAGTGAGCTAAACTCGTGGCAGGTTGATTATGTTGGACTGCTTCCCTCATGGGCAGGGCAGTGTTTTTTCCTTATGGAATATAAACTTTCTCTGGATTCAGATCTGCCTTCCTTACATGCAATGCTTCTACGCAAACTACCATTCATAGACTTACCAAATGCCTTATCCACCATCATGGTATTCTACTCAACTTTGATTCTGATCAAGAAACTAACTATACAGCAAAAGAAGTGTGGCAATGACCCTCCTCATCAAATTCACAGGTCTCTCACCCTCCTGAAGCAGCTGGCTTGATAGAAAGGTGGAATGGCCTTTCAGACACTCAGGTGTGGTGCCAGCTAGGTAACAATAGCTTTCAGGGCTGGGGCAAGGTTCTCCAGAAGAATGTGTATGCTTTGAATCAGTCTCCAATATATTGTTCTCCTTCTCCCACGGGTGGGATTCATGGGTTCAGGAATCAGAGAGTAAGAACAGGAGTGGCACCACTCACTGTTACCCTGAGTGACCCGAAAGCAAAATTTTATTCCTGTTTTCATGACTTTATCCTCTGCTAGCCCAGAGGTCTTAGTTTAAGAAGGAGAAATGCTTCCACCGGGAGACACAATGATTTCTGGAACTGAAAGTTAAGAGTGCTTCCTGGTTACTTTGGGTTCCTTGTCCCTCTGAATCAACAGGCAAAGGAGAGAGTTAAGGTGCTGGCTGAGGTGATTGATTCTGACTACCAAGAGGAAAGTGGACTACTACTCCACAATGGTAAGTAGTATAAGGTAAGAAAGAGTATGACAGGAATATAGAAAATTGCTCAGGATGTCTCTTTGTGTTACCATACCCTGCACTTAAAGTCAATGGAAAACTACAACAATTCAATTAATACAGGGCTAATAATAGTCCAGCATCTTTAGAAGTGAAGGCTTGGCTCACCAAACCAGCTCAGGCTTGTGCTGAAGTCAAAGGGAATGCAGAATGGGCAGTAGAATTAGGTAGTTATAAATACCAGCTACAGTGACATGACCAGTTACAAAAAGGATGAGTAATGTATTTCCTCCTTATTTTGTTATGAATATACTTGTGTATCTATATACATAGATTAAAGAAATACCTCTTTTCCTCTCTTATTCTCTTGCCATGTAACATAAGATGTATTGACTTTATATCAGTATTTAAGTATTGTTAACATTACATCATAGTATTTAAGTTATGAGATATCTGGAGAACAGTAAACATTATTCAGGGATTTTATTTTCTCTCCTGGGGAAGGAATTATTTTATCTCCTGGGGAAGGAATTTTTGGTTGCATGCAGGATAGTCATATCATGTTAGGTAGTTATATCTCCATTTGGAGATTAATATGGTTTCAGAAAATGCATGTAGGTGTGAAGTTGACAAGGGGCACACTTGTGATGATTAATTTTGTGTGTTAACTTAGGGGTGCACAGATATCTGACAATACATTATGTCTGGGTGTGTCTATGAATGTGTCTTTGGAAGAGATTAGTATTTGAATCATTAGACTGGGTGAAGAGTATTATCATCAATACAAAGAAGAATCATCCAATCCCATGAGAGGTTGAGTAGAACAAAAGTGTTGAAAGGGTGAATTTGCTCTCTGCTTGAGCTCAGGCATCCATCTTTTCCTGCCCTTGGATATCCATTGGCACTCCTGGTTCTTGGGTTTTTGGGCTCTGACTCAGACTTACACCATAGATCTCCAGTTGTCAGGCCTTCAAACTCATACTGAATTCCATCACCAACTTTTCTTGTTCTCCAACTTGTAGATGGCAGATCATGGGATTTCTTGGCCTCCATAACCATGTCAGCCAATTTCTATAATAAATCTCCTTAGCCATGTATCATCTATCTATCTATCTATCTGTCTAGCATCTATCATCTACCTATAATCACCTATTGGTTCTGTTTCCCTGGAGAACCCTCACTAATGCATATGTATTATTGTAGCTTTCTATTAAACTGATGATTTACATTATGATATATTCTTCTTTATCTCTACTAATGCTTTCAGTATTGAAGTCTTTCAGGCTTTCTTTTGATTGGTTGTGGACCATCAGATAATAACATAACTACATAATTTTGCAATTTAAAATATAACAGTGGCTTTTAATCATGGCATTGCATTTATTATAACATTTTCTCATCTCATGCCTGTCGATTATCCGTTAGTTTCTACTGACTAACAGAATTAGTATGAGATGACTTTAAAAATGTGTAATATAAACACTCTTAAACAAATAAGTTTTCTGTGGAATTAAATAAATATATATGTATGTTATATAATTTTTAAGTAATATATTATAACCTAAATTGTATATAAAAACTTTTGGGTTTTTTTCTTGTTAGGTCAAAGCAATAATTTGCAGGTTTTCGATCCCAGGCAATCAGGCAACACATGTACTTTTTCCTTTCCATTTTTCCTGTCCGTAGAAGATAATTACTCTGGAAGAATAAAGGGACAAAAGTCACATGTATGCCCAATCAAGTTAAAAATGATGGTTAATGCAGCAAATAGCATGAGGGCAACCTATTATAGAGTTCTATAATGCAATTTATTTTAAACCAACATTTGAATATACAAATGCTAAAGAATTAAACATTATTAGAAAAAAATTTAAAAGATAACGCTGCAAGAAATTTTAAATGATAGATTGAATGTCATTTATACTTTACTAATCTATGATGTAGCTAACACTATTGAAAAATATTATCCAATTTAATTGTCATTATATGCATCTGTATGAGTACTACCATGTATATTTATATTATTTATATTTATCTAATACATTTTCATCTCATCCTTAAAATATCTGATACTCACTATGATATCATCAATTCTCTGTTTTCCAGGTTACTCTTTGGTTTCACTCTCACTTTCAAGTTCCCTGTATATTTAAAAACAAATATAATCACTTAAAATTATATTTTCTTCAAAGATTGCTGCACAAAACTCTGCACCATCTATTAGTACTGAAACAACCACTGCTTGAGACTATCTTACCACTGAAATCATCTCTTAGCTGGTAAGTAAGACTAATGTGAGAAAATAAGACAGTAATGTAAGTTTACCTGAAAAGAAACTCTGGTCACTTTCATATTTATAACATGATTAGCTAAATAACTTTAAACTTTTTCCATTCATCTTCTCCCCTATTTCTTTCTTTTATTTATTTATTTAAACATTTTATCAATTACAGTTTACATTCAATATTATTTTGTATTAGTTTCAGATGTACAGCATACAGGTTAGATAATCATATACTCTACAAATATCTCCCCTGACATTTCCAGTACCCACCTGGCACCATGTTTAGCTATTACCTTATGATTGACTATATTCCCTATGCTGTACTTGACATCTCCATGACTATTTTGTAATGACCAATTTGTACTTCTTAATCCCTTCACCTTTTACACCCAGTCCCCCAACCCTTATTCCTTCTGGCAACTACTAGAGTGTTCTCTTTATCTATGAGTCTGTTTTAATTTTGTTTGTTTATTTTGTTCCTTAGATTCCACATGTAAGTGAAATCATGTAGTTGTTGTCTTTCTCTGACTGACTTATTTCACTAAGCATAATACCCTCTAGGTCCAGCCATGCTCTTGCAAATGGTAAAATCTCATTTGTTTTTATGGCAAATAAAGTCTATTATATGCATGTACTACCACTTTCTTATTCACTCATCTGTTGATAGGCACTTGGGTTGCCACTTGGCTATTGTATTCAATAAATAATGCTGTAATGAACATAAAGATGCATATATTCTTTCAAATTATTTTTCTTGCTGCTCTAGTAAATGGGATTTTCTTCCCATTTCTGTTTTTGATATTTCATTTTTGATGTACAACAATGCTTTCTGTTTCTGAATATTGACTTTGTATCCTGCTATTTTGCCAAATTCACTTACTAGGTTGAGTAGTTTTTTTGTGGAGTCTATAGGGCTTTCTATGTACACTATTGTGTCATCTGCAAATAATCACAGTTTTACTTCCTCCTTTACAATTTAGATGCATTTTATTTATTTTTCTTGCATGATCACTGTAGCTAGACTGCCAATACTATGTTGGATAAAAGTAGTGAAAGTGAACACCTTTGTCTTGTTCCTGACCTTAAGGGGAAAGCTTTTAGTTTTTCCCCATCGAGTATGATGTTGACTGTAAGTTTCTTGTAAATGGTCAAGCAGAAATTATTTTATATCAATTTCTCTATAGTAAATTGATTTTAATATTTATTTCTATTCTTAAAGCATACCTTCAGATATTTCTAAGTTTTTTAATGAAAACTTATTTGCCTTATTTTTTCTGTAGGTTAGTGATGGCTATCATCTAGATTTTTGTCTTACTATTATTATATATTAATTTTTAATTTTTTCCACTTCTGGAAGTTTATTTTTCAATTTATTGAACTACATATAAGGCTAACTACTCTCATGGATTTCCCTGCTATCTTTTAATAAAATAGTCCATCCAAAACTCTTTGAAATATATAAATATTAAAAATAAAATAGTAATGTTCAATACACATTCAATAATTAAGATCAAATAATAAAGAGGTAAATAAACATTAACTAGAAATCATTTTCACTTCATTTTATCCTTAACAGGGTCCAAATTATTATAAGATTAAAATTGCTGACATTTTAATATATTAAGGACTAAAATTTCATACAAAGATAAAATTAAATCTGTTACTTTATTATCATAACATTAATTATTAATAAATTACTATAGATGCCACCAACTATAAAATTAATGAATCCTAAATATGAAATCAACATACTCATCGCTTGTATACTCCTCAGTTTTCCACTTTTTCCTTTGGAAATAAACTTTTACCAGGGTTGCGATCATTACACAGAGAACAATGGCAAAAGGAATGAGTAGGAAAAATGGCCATCTCGTAGGTTTGGAAGAGTAAGTACTCCCAGTATAGAGCCTTTCTAGGAAAGAAAACACCAATGATTTAAAAGTAATTACAAGGAATATAGCAAAGACATTTCTGTATTTTAATGTAATTATTAGAATAAAATTACTAATTAATAATTTATAATTAACATTTTATAAAGTAGATAAGTTGATAGTGTAAGTGCCCAAAGACAGTCTTACAACTCTTATAATAATAGTTCTATCCTTTGCTTTTGATGGAAAACCTTCTATTCCATGTAGTCTTTTTTCAGAACTGTCTAGTAATATAGATGAAAACAATCCAAGTGTGATCCTTGTAAAAGTTGAGTTTTTCTCAATTCCTATTGTTAGTATGCAATACTGTACATTTAATAAAGTTTTAGTAAAGTCCAAATTATCTTTTTTTTGCATTAATATATATTTTCATGTTTTATCTAAGAAATTGCTGCTTATCCAAAGGTCACGTAAACATTTCCCTGTGTTTCTTTCAAGAAGATTTATAATTTTAGCATCTTCCTTTAGATTTATGAGCTATCCCATATGAAGTGTTACGTAAGTTGAGATTTTTGAGATTCTTTGGGCTTATATGGGTATCCAGTTGTTACAGCACAATGTTTTGAACTGCCTTTCCTTCCCCATTAAACTACCTTTGCACTTTTCTTGAAAAATTGATTAACTTTATATTAACGGGTAAATTTCTAGGCTCCATATTTCATTTTATTGATCTGTTTGTATATCCTTTACCACTGGCACACTGTTTTGATTCATGTAACTAAATACAAAATCTATGTTATACTAAATTCAATATAAGACAATAAGGCAAATAGACTAAGTTGTCCTTTGTCATTCTTTTTCAGAGGCTCTTCTAAGCTCTCTTTTGTTTATTTTAGAATCAAATTTTTAACATCTAAAAAGTTGCATGCTTTTATATATTTTTTAAATTGATAGATTTAACTAGGCGAGAATTGAAATTTTAGCAATAATAAACCTTCCATAGGTGAATATGGTATATTTCTGCACTTATTAGTATGTTTAACATTGACCTCCATTTTGCTTTAGTTTCAGTATAAAGGTCCTGCACACCTTTTGTTAAATATATTCCTAATAGTTTATATTTCTACAGTATTATAAATGATACTGACTTTAAGTTGATTTCCATTTACTGTTGGAAATACTACTACTGACTTCTGAATACTTTTCCTTTGAACTTTCAAAAATATTTATTACTTCTGCAAGTATTTTTGTAGATTCTTTAGGACTCTCTATGTAATTAACCATATCATCTGCAGTCTCACTTAATTCTTTCCAATCTCTATGTTTCTGGTTTCTTGTTCTTTTGTTATTTATTGCACTGTCTAGGACTTTTGGTAAAATGTTGAGTAGACATCATAGGAGCAGGCTTTATTCGCTAATAAATATTTTGGGGGGAACAATGTACTTCATTATAAAATATATTAATCATGGTTTTTGTTGATGTTTTTTATCAGATTGATGAAATTTACTTATGTGAGTAATTTACTGGTTAGTGGGTAGAGGGATTGAGCCAAAAGGGAAAAGGATTCATGGACATGGACAACTGTGTAGCAATTGTGACAGTGGAGAGAGGTGTAAGAGAGTATAAGGTGGATAAATGGTAATGGAAACATATAATAAATAAATAAATTTTTAAAAATGAACATTTACTGAGCACCCATTTTTGTTGTTTCTGTCCTAGGCACTGAGGATTATATCAGTTATATATTATATCAGGATTAAACATGACTCTGTCATAGCCTCTGCCCTCAAACCATTTATAGTCCATTAGAAAGCTATTAAAAAAAAAAAAAGTGCCAGAAAGTGCTTCAGGCTGTACGGGAGCTGCCTGCGTAGGGTTCAGTGGCATGTAGAAAGCGTGTTTTGGTTTGAGTGCTTAGTGCAGGCCCCTTTCCTGAGAACGTCCCACTTCAGGCAGAGTTGGACAAATGCAGTAATTTTGGTAATATGGGATCCTGCCCTGTGACTGCTGGTTATAGGTACAGGACTGACACCCATTCTACACCATATTTTTCCCCCAGGAATTAAATTAGTAATTACAGATGCTAATGTCTTCCAGAAGCAGTAAGAAGTTGGAATAGAAACACTTCTTGGTTATGGTCTGAATGTTTGTGTGCCCCTGCACCCCGCAAAAAATTCATGAATAGGTAGTGAATTTTGTCAAATGATTTTTCTGCATTAAATGAAAGAATCATATACTTTAAAAATTTTGTTGATTTAATGAATTGTACTTGGTTGACTCAAATGATGAGAGTTTTGCATTCTTATAATAAGCTTCACAAAGTCTGATTATTATCCTTTAAATATATATAGCTATATAACATGAATATTTTCTTGAAACCACTTATATATCATAAATGTAAATTCATAAAAGAAGTTATTCTATAATTTTTTAAACTTATTTATCTGGATTTGGCACCAGGGTTATGTTTTTCTGGTGCAATGAGGTGATAGGAGTCTTTCCATCACTGTTTGGTAAAATGCTATGTCTTCCTTAGAAACATTTAGTGAAGTTAATATGTATTTTTAACATCTAGACCTGTATTTTTTTGTTTATTTTTATTGGTGGTGACTTAAAAAAAACACAGACCCACTGATCTGAGAAGTTTCAGGTTCCGATTTCTTGTTAATACCCTCTAATTCGTAATTCCTTTTCCATTAGGAATAGTCCCTTTTATATCTGAGTAGCTTCTTTCCTATATTGATTGGGCTCAAAGAGCATATGTGCTATTGAGATCACTTTCAGTCTAAGCTGATGTAATTTCTTTAAAAATGTGTGCATTCCTTGTGTGTAAAATAAGTGTACACCCCAGGGAGAAGTTGAGATCCTGCTCCCCAGCACATGTTGTCAGTTGGGCTAAAATAAACACTGAAAATTTTTCATAAAAATTCAGGATGATGATGATGATGATGATGATGATGATGATGATAATAATAAACCCCATTAAATAAAGGTCACACTTACACATAATTTTGAGATAAGCCTTTTTCTATATTGGGCTGGCAAGGTTACCATGGAACAACATATTTAAGATTCTTAGAAGCCTTTTTTTGTTTGAGAGGTTTTATAAGGCATTCCAATACAATACTTATTGATAGAAGGGATTTTGTTTAGATGAAGATACCTAAGGAACATCACTTTAAGTTTTTTTGAGGTTTTCATAGAGGGGTTTAGAGTCACGTGCTTGACTTAATGTTTACCTGAGATCAGATTCTATTGTTTAATATCTTAAATTTGGCCGTTAGACATTTATTACCTTAAGAATATTTTCCAACTTCTCATAACATGCTTTTGAATTGCTCACCAACTGTCTTCTCAAGGCAATGTTATCATACACTAGTAGTCTTCAACAGTTTCCTAGAGGTCTTTCCACCACACACCATCCAAATTCCAAAGCTAATGCCAATGTTTTATTGTAGATACTTGTTATATAAATACACCTTCTGGTAGCAAATTGTTTTCAGAGCTGTGTAAGGAACTACTCACAAATTTAGTAAATTTAAAACAATAATTTAAATTTGATCATTTTGTGGGTCTTGAATTTGGGGAAGGCTTAGTTGTATAGTTATACTTTTGTCTCAATGTAGTCAAATTTCATACAGAGCAGATGTTTCAACAGACTAAGTGTTCCAATAAGGAGAGTCCCAAGAATTGGTATTCTAAAATACCGAGTCAGAATCTGCAGGAAGACCGTGGAAGGCCCAGAGTCTCACTTCTGTGCTTTTCATTGATTAATCCTATCACTAAAGTCAGTCTGGATTCCAGGAAAGGAATAATCTCCTGTGCTCACAGGGGAAATGGCATGTGTGTGCACAAACAGAAGCAATTAATATCAGTCGATTTGAACATAAGCTACTACAAGTTAATTGTTACTACTAAAAGGGAAACAGCTTGATAATGCTTAGATATGTTATAATGTTATAATTTAGCAATATATTACCATATGACCTTAAACAATGAAATGAATGCAGAAATTTTAAGAACTACCTCTAGCTCAAAATCTGGAAAGACTTGCTTTAATTATATGCAAATTCAAGTTTTTATAAAAAGGAAGCCTGGCCCTAAGCATCATTGGATACGCTGGCTTACTCCAATGTCCATCCCTGCATGAACCAAAAAAAAAAAAAAAACTGTAGAAAACTACATCCCCCAGGCTCCTTGACTCTCTGTCTTCCAGTCAGATTTAGCCAATGGGAGTCGCTGGACAAAATTTGGAGTGTTGGACGAGTGAAATATCCAAGGTATTTTTCCTCCTTCCACTCAATACTCTCTACCTCTATCGGGGTGTCCAAACTTTTGGCCTCTCTGTGGCACACTGGAAGAAGAGTTGTCTTGGGCCACACGTTAAATACATTGAGACATGTAATCACAAAAAAATCTCATAACATTTTAAGTGAATTTACGATTTTGTGTTGGGCTACATTCACAGCCGTCCTGGGCTGCAGGTGGCCCACGTGCAGGTTGGACACCGCTGCTACTTCATATGCAGGACAGTACCACTCCCTGTGGTCTAGATGCCCATATGTAGCCTTTACCATACAGTTACATGTCATGCCACATAGCTCAGATTCTGGTTTCAGAAATGCCACCTCTTACCATTGTCCTACCAGGCCCAAGAAGTGATAATGAATTCCTGCTGTTGCTAATCTCTGGCTTGTTTCACCATTCTCTGGTTTGTATCTCTGCCATTATGTCTTACCCAATGCTTTATATTAAACTTCTTCTGTATGAAGGACTAAAGTGATTTCTATTTTTCTGGCTGGGTCTTACTGACCTATCTCATCTACAATATAAGTTAAACATGTTCTATTACATTACTCTCTGTAATGAAAACATAAACAGCTATTTGTGATTTATTATTTGACGTCCAAACATAATATAAATATAAACTGGTAGATAAAATAGTATTTATGTTTTAATTCTGTCTTTAATTCATTATTCACCCGTACCGGGACGGCGGGCCGCTGCGGGCGGGAAGTTGCCGCTGTCAACACTCCCTCCGGGCCATGAGTCATGTTCGGCCCAGCAATCTGGAGGTAAATAGCCGTGGTCACAGTGACAGCTCTTTTTATTATTGCATACCTGAAAACAGGGGAAATGTCACCTCAGAACATAAGCAGCATAAATTTTTTGGTGTTCAAGTGGACTTTTAAAAAAATACTTAAGTCAGATAAGGCTGATTTTTAAAATGTGGTTTATGATTGTATGTGGGGTGTGTGTGTGTGTGTGCGCGCGCACGCGTGTGTGTGTTTAGTTGTGTGTTTGCTTTCCTAGGATTATGGGCAATGATTTCTAGTCTTGCATCATAATGCTGGTACTTACACCCCGAAAGCTGCAGCCTTCTAGATTACAGTCATAATTTAAGTCATCCTCTATACATTTCTTATTCTTGCACAACTAAAAAGAAAACAAGCCTAAATTTACTGAAATGTCATCTGTATTTAGCATCTAGTTATGGGATTTACAATAAATATTAATATACTAATAATAAGTGATTAACTTATAGTGCTAGTATGTTTTAGCACTAGATTTGACTTTTATTATTTGAGAGTAAACAAAGCAATAAAAGCATCTTCCCTGCTTTGCTGGGATGGAAAGTACAGACATGAAATTTAAAAAATCAAACATTAACATGTGATAATTAATATAGTGAAAAAGGAGTTACAGGAAAAAAATAAAATATAGGGAATTTACCTAATACTGGAGAACAGAAAAATCTTCTTATTGAACCTTACCATTGAACAGAACTTAATAAAGCATAACAATGAAAGATAGGGACTTAAAGGAAAAGAAATAACATTTTAAATGACCCTACGATGGAAGTGGTATGAAACTTTTGAAAAATATTAAGGGCAATGTAACTGTTACACAGAAAAACATTAAATCACTACCTGACTAAATCTTTGAGTTCAACATTGTGCTTTGCCCTGAGAACACGAAAGAGTTTCATATTGCTCATATTGCAGTAAAAGACATAGAAACACACACACACTAACAAAAAAACCAGCTAAGTGTGATTTGACAGAAGTTGTTATGGCAGGATTGTGTAGGACCTTTTGATCTTAATCAGAAAGGCGGCCTATAACAAATAAGCAATTTGTTTTATTTAGAGATTTAAATGAAAGATAAGCAGCTCATTAAAGTAGATTTTAGAAAAGAGAACAGAAAAGCAAAAGAAAAATGTAGAGAGATAAATTAGAATGCCATTACAGTAGTTCAGGAAAATGATAACCATAGAGTGACATTGAGTGGAAGTGGTTTAGATAGAAATACATGGTTGTATTTGAGATATCGATAAAAAGTTTAACCCACCTAAGGCTAGTGATAGATAATACACAGAGGATAAAACAGAGATGTGTCATTGGCAACAGAGTTTCTGGCTGGGTTAACTCTCTTGGCTGTGGTACAATTAACTGAGATGGAGAAAGCTAAGTATAAAGATCAAAAGTCTAGAATATTATTTTTAAGACTTCTTTCACCTGGTAATATTAAATTATACTTTGCTTCAAAACACTTTAAAAAATGTTTATGCACTCACAGAAACCCTTAGAGTAACTGATAATAAACAAAATAACATTTTAAAAAATGTTTCTAAATAATATTGGTAATATTTCTTTGAGGTTCTTAATTCTTGGAATATATATGACCATAATATACTAATTTTTAAGGTCAGAGAATGAATCTGCTCACACAAGTTTTACTAAACCATGACTGAGCATGGGAAGATACATTATTGACATTGCCTGGTAATTATGGCAATACATGCCTGTTTAAGAATTAGAAAGAAATATACTGAAGACAAATATACTCAGGTTATTTTGAGTGGTTGTGGTATAGTCTAAAAGCTCTGGCTCTCGATACACACTATTGCTGCTACAGTTAGAAATATATCTGTTTTGTCAGAATGATCCCTTAACACCTAACTAGAACTTGGGCAGAAAAGTTAGGTATATAATTTGCACAGCTGTTGTTCAGAAAAAAATAAACCTGATTCTCAAAACTGTTAAATAAATTCTTTGAGCCAGACTAGAAAGAAGGCAAGAAGGGATTTATAATTATTTGTATTGTTTCTGTGCAATGAAATTATTTTTTTTTCTGATTTAACATGCTTACTTCTGTTGTACCATGCAGGAAGGCTAGGGAGGAACACCATCCAAAGTAGGAATCTAGCTATAAAACCACAAAAATTCTTTATCTCCACATAAGAAGGATATAAAGAAAATTATGGTTCTTCACCAAACACTTTGTAACAGATTTTTTTTTATTTGCTATGAGATAAGAAAGAAAATACATCTTATTCCTTTCACTTGGCCAGAATAGGTTTCTGTAGAAACCTTCTTGTGTGGAGGACCTAAAATAGTGAATAAAACAACCAAAAGAGGTGTACATATTATTTTGTAAAAAAAATATATCATTGTTACTGGAAATAAAGTAAAGGTTATTTTTAGGCTCAGAAAAAGTGAGGCACTGTGATTTCTCAATAGAATCAAAGGCTGAAGCCAGCAATACTCCCCTGGCCATCAGTGACCAAGCACGTAGGATTTAAATGATTGTGTGCACCCTACACCAGTGATACTTATAAGCAAGTTTTACCTAATCCTGAAAAAAATAACCCAGAGAGTGAAATCAGCAAAATAGCGCACTAGGAAGCCCCAAGGTTTGTTCTTCCTTAGAAATATTTGTTTTTTTTAATGAAAGAAGGAAGGGAGGGAGGGAGGGAGGGAGAAAGAGGAAGAGGTAGGCGAGAGAGGAAGGAAGGAAGGAAAGAAACGTATAGGAGCCCTGGAAGCAGTCTAAGGTCTGAGGCAACTAAGCAAACCCGCATCAAGAGAAACGCAAAATGGTGGGCAAGTCTGTGTTGCTCAACTTTGCCTCACTCCTCCCCTGGCACAGCACAGTCCCGGCCTGAAGACAGCAGCCACTGAGCACCCAGTTCCACCCTCTCAAGCCCCCTTAAACTGATGAGAGCAGGGGGACCATGTTCCAATGTTACAGCCTGTCTGAGAAGTTCTTGAAGGACTTGTCTTCGTTTACCTAATTTAAATCTTCGATGGAGAGAAGCAACGGCACTGCTCAAGAAAGCTGAAGAGAGACAAAGATCTTGCAGACACTTGGGGCAAGATATTACAACAGACCATCTAAGGCCCCAAAGAAATGCTTGCATGAGACTATTTGGGAAAATAAGACATTTAAAAACATCCACGAATGTGGGAAATCAAAAAAACCTCATAGAGGCCCTGGAAAGACACACATCACAAAAAATACCAGACGACCACAAGTTTTCTTTCCGGCTGAATGCAAGGCTCAGAGCTACTCAACAGATTAGCTTCAGAGCTGCCCCTGCACAGAACCACTCTGAAACACCGGGAGAAGTGGCGGTCAAAAAACATCACAAGGTATAAAAGGAAACAGGAAAACACATCTCGCTTAGAGGAAAAAAATAAGGTGACAGATGTTATTTTTAAATGACTGTACTAAATGCTGAAGAAGCTAAGTGAGAGCATGGATAAAGAATGAAAGGAAATCAGAAAAATGACATGAAAATATCAACAAAGAGATACAACAATCAAAACAAATTAAAAAGTCTGTAAAAATACAATACAGGCATACCTCATTTTATTGTGTTCACTTATTGCACTTTACATAATTCATGGGTTTTTTTTGTTTGTTTGTTTTTTACAAATTGAAGGTTTGTGGCAACCTTGTGTCAAGCAAGTCTGCCAGCACCATTCTTCCAATAGTGTTTGCTCACTTTGTGTCTCTGTGTCACATTTTGGTGATTTTCACAGTATGTCATACTTTTTCATTATTATATTTTTTATGGTGACCTGTGATCGGTGGCCTTTGATGCTACCATTGCAATTGTTTTGAAGTGCCAGTAACCATGCCTATATAAGATGGGGAATGTAATCAATAAATGCGTATGTTCTAACTGCTCTACTGGACTAGCTGTTTCCGCCTCTCACTCCCTGTCCTCAAGCATCCCTACTTCCTGAGACACAACAATATTTATGTTTGGCAAATTAATAACCCTATGATGGCCTCTATGTGTCCAAGTGAAAGGAGGAGTCTCACATCTCTCAATTTAAATCAAAAGAAAAATAATTAATTATAGTGAGGAAGGCATATCAAAAGCTGAGATAGGTCAAAGGCTGGGCCTCTTGTGCCAAAGAGCCAATCTGTGAATGCAAAAGAAAAGTTCTAGATGGCACTTAAAAGTGCATTCCAGTGAACACATGAATGATGAGAAAGCAATAAAGCCTTCTTGCTAATATGGCAAAAGTTTTAGTGGTATGGATAGGTCAAAAAAGCCACAACATTCCCTTAAGCCAAAGCTTAATTTAGAGCAAGGACCTAATTCTCTTTAATTCTGTGAAGGTTGAGAGAGGTGAGGGAGCTACAGAAAAGAAGTGTGAAGCTACACAAGGTTGGTTAATGAGGATTAAGGAAATAAACAATCTCTATAACACCAAGGTACATGGTGAAGCAGCAAGAGCTGATGAGGAAGCTACAGTGAGTTATCCAGAAGATCTAGCTATGATAATTAACAGAGGTGGCTACACTAAACAACAGACTTTCAATGTAAATGAAGCAGCCTTATATTAGAAGATGCCATCTAGGACTTTCATAGTCAATGTCTGACTTCAAAGCTTCAAAGAACAGTCTGACTCTCTTGTTAAGGTCTAATGCAGTTGGTGGCTCTAATTTGAAGCCAGTGCTCAATTACCATTCCAAAAATCCTAGGGTGCTAAAGAATCATGTTAAATTTACTTTATCTTTGCTTTATAAATGGAACAACAAAGCCTGATGATAGCACATCTGTTTATGACATGGCTTACTAAATATTTTAAGCCCACTGTTGAGACTTACTGCTCAGAAAAAAAAGATTCCTTTCAAAATATTACTACTCATTGACAATACACCTGGACCCAAGAACTCTGATGAAGATGTACAACGAGATTAATGTTTTTTTCATGCTTACGAACACATCCATTTGTAGCCCACAGATCAAGTCTTATTAACAAAGACACTTTGAAAGGCTACAGATGTTGTAATAGTGAGTGATTCCTCTGATAGATCTAGGTGAAATAAATTTAAAACCTGGAAAGGATTTAGCATTGCCAATGCCATTAAGAACACTAGTGATTCATGAAAAGAGGTCAAAATGTCAACATTGAGGGGGTTTGAAAAGAAGTTGATTCCAGCCCTCAGGGATGACTGAGGGGCTCACGACTTTAGTGGAGGAAGCAACTGCAGATGTGGTGGAAAAAGCAAAGAGAATGGGAATTAGAAGTGGAGCCTGAAGATGTGACTGATTTGCTGCCATCTCCTGATAAAACTTTAAAGGATGAGGAGCTGTTTCTTATGAATGAACAAAGGAAGTGGTTTGTTGAAATGAAATCTACTCTGGGTGAAGATGTGAAGATTGTTGGAGGGACAACAAAGGGTTTAGAATATTACATAAACTTAGCTCATACAGCAGCACAAGGTTTGAGAAGATTGACTCCAATTTTGAAAGTTCTGTTGGTAAAATGCTATCGAATAGGATCACATGATGCAAAGAAATTTTCATGAAAGGGAAGAGTCAATTGGTGAAGCAATCTTCATTGTCTTATTTTAAGAATTTGTCATAGTCACCCCAGCATTAGAAAATTTATTATTTTAATAAGTCAGCAGCCATCAAGACAGGACCCTTTACTCTCAAAAAGGGTCTTTTAGTAATAAAATATTTTTAATTAAGGTATTTGAATTTTTTATTATGCAACGCAATCAGCTGTATTTCTAAATACTAATAGTGTACATCTTGAAAAGGAAATTAAGTAAACATTTCTCTTTACAATAGCATCACAAAGAACAAAATGTTTATGAATAACTTTATCAAGGAATTAAAAGACTTGTACACTGGAAACTAGAAAACATTGCTGAAGGATATTAAAGAACACACAAACAAATAGATACCCCATGTTCATGCATTGAAGACTTAATATTGTCAAGTGGTCAATATAACCCAAAGAAACTTGCATATTCAGCATAATCCTATAAAATGTCTATTTTTGTTTTTTACAGAAATGGAAAAACATTCTAAAACTCATTGTAGAATATTAAGGGACTACAAATAGCTAAAACAATCTTTTTAAAAAATAGACATCCAATTATTGATTTCAAACTTACTAAAAAAACTACAGCATTCCAAGCAGTGTGGTACTTACATAAAGACAGACATACAAATCGGAGGAGATGGATAAAGAACCCAGAAGTAAAGCCTTTAAGATATGATCAAATGATTTTTAATAAGGTTGCCACAAAAATTCATACTAAATATTCACATGCAAAAGAATGAACTTGGACCTTCAATTTATACCATATATTAAAATTAACTCAAGATGGATCCTAGACCTAAAGCATAAGACCTTAAATTATAAAACTCCTAGGAGAAAATGGAGTAATTACTGTTGAACTTAGCAATAATTTTGTAGCTGTTACACAGAAGGCATAAGAAGAAAGAAAAAAATAATCTGTGCTTCATCTAAACAAAAAACTTTTGTGCATTAAATAACTCAATTAACAGATTTAAAGGCATCCCATAGAATGAGAGAAAATGTTTGCAAATCATATATCTAATTAAGGATTAATATCTAGAATATGTAAAGAACTCATAACTCAACAACTCAAATTTTTTTTAATGGACACAGGCTGTGCAAAGGCATTTCTTCAAAGAAGAAATGTTGATATTTAATATGCATATGGAGATATGCTTAATATCATTAATCATTAGAGAAATAAAAATTAATAATGAGGTACCACTTTAACCCTTTAGAATATCTATCAGTAAAAATTTTGTTTTAAATGTTGATGAGGATGTGGAGAAATTGTAATTCTTGGGCACTGATGGTGAGAATGGAAGGTAGTAAAAAACAGTACAAGAGTTCCTCAAGAATTCAACAGAATTACCAAATGATCCAGCAATTTTACCGCTAGGTATATAATCAAAACATCTGAAACAAGGACCTGAACATAAATTTGTACACCAGTGATAATAGCAATATTATTTATAACAGCTAAAATGTGGAAATAAATTAAATGTCCATTGACAAATAAATAGATAAACAACCTATGGTATAAACATCAAATGGAATACTATTCAGTCTTTAAAGAGGAAAAACAGTTTGATACATGCAACAGTAAGGATTATTTTGAAAATGTTAATCTGTGTATAATAAACCAGACTCAAAAGGACAAACATTGCATGATTCCACTTGTATGAGGTACTGTATCTTAAATATTGAAATTTATAGAGACAAAATATAAAATAGTGATTGCCAGGGGTCATGGGAAGGGGTCACTGGGAAGTTATGGTTTGATGGGTACAGAGTTTCTGTTTGGAATGATGAAAGTTTTCAGGAGAAACATAGTGATGATGGTTGCACAAAAATACGAATGTATTTGTGTCCCTGAACTGTACACTTAAAAATGGTTAAAATGGTAAGTTGTATGTTATGCATGTTTTACCACAAGAATAGTATTTTACATTCAGTGTTTTATACACCAAGATAAGAGGTAACATCCTTAAACTCACATTGCAGAGGAAATATGGTTCATCCCTGAACAACTCAGGGTTACAGGGACTGACCCACTTACAGCTGAAAATCAGGGTCTAACTTTTGACTCCCCCAAAACTTAACTGCTGTCAGCCCCTGGTATCCACAGATGATTGGTTCTCAAATCTCTGTGGAGGCCAAAATCAATAGATGCTCAAGTTCCTTATATAAAATGGTATATAACAATGCATACCTTTGGCCCTCCACATCTGCAGGTTCCCAGCTCTTCAAAAATACTGTTTTCAATCCCCCATTAGTTGAATCCACAGATGGGACACCCATGGATATGGAGAGCCAAGTGTATTTATTGAAAAAAATCTACATATAAGTTTAAATTCAAACCTGTGTTGTTTGAAGATCAACTGTATCTATTGTTATCCCCATCAGACAAGGACATCCTAAATATTTATGTATTAAGTTCTTTGGTATATGAGGAATATACAATTTGAATGAATGTGCTTGTTTACCATGGTTGAGATATTTGCAAAATAAATTTCATAAAAGCAAACTTATTACACAATATTTTAAATGATTCAGCTTCATGTAAGAATTTGGGGTGACAAGTTTTCTTTTATTACTTCCTAATTTTTAAATGAATATTAGTAAAGTTAGGTTGTGATAAGATTTCAATATGACAAATATTTCTATAATTATCAGGTAAAAATACTGTTTTAAACGTGTATACATACATAATGACTTAAACTAAAATGTGAAAAATTATGAGATTTCATTTATACCTGGTTACAACCAAAACATAAAATTTTTACTTCCCATTTACAAAAGAAATCTTGTGCTCCCAAGTCAATTATATTTCGCCTTTCCCTCTCTTCTTCATTAAGTAATTTAATATATTATGTTTTTATTAGACCAGAGAGGCTTTATACCTTAAAACTGAGATATGAAAATAATTTAAGCTTCAGTTGTGTATTTATGTGTACATACATTAGTGATATGAATTTTACAGAGAAAAAAAATCTAGGGAGATGTAGGAAGAATAGCTATATATGTACATGTATGTAGAGAGAGAGAAATAGAGAGATGATTGAAGGTTCTGAAAACAGAGTAGTTACGCCTCAGACATGTGCCTTCAAATAATTTTCTCTTTATGTGTTTTTTATGATTTTCATCACCCAAATGGACATATATTATACAACAGCTATTTTAAAGTAATTATACAATAAGAATAATTCATGACATTAATAGTACTCCATGTAACGTAATTTAACAAAATACAGGGATGAACAATATGATTTTCAAATCAGTGAATATATATCGTTTCTATGAAAAACAGCCAATAAAATATTCATGGGGATACTGTCTATGCATGAATGATGATTATTGTTTTTTTTTGTTTTAAAAGTTTTCTATTTTCTTAGTTTTGAAATTGAATGTGAACTTAAATTATGAGGCGGATACTAATCAAGCATTTAAAATGAGAGCATAAGTTAGAAAATCATTTGGGAATGAAAGACTACGTACCTTATTTTCACCACAAACAGTTCCGTCTTTTACCCACATCTTTGAGCTTTCTGGATGACTACTCGCATACTCCAGTGAGACGCACGTATGTTCGTTTATTTTACTATAAGTGACAGTGGCACTCCTAATGGAAAGTGCCCTTTCTTGTTCATATTTACATATTAATTTTCCACACAACAGATCACTGTAATGTACCAATACATGAAAATCATTAGTTTTAAATACAGACAAATATCAGAAGAGCATCTAAAGTGAAGACTTAAGTAAAGCATTGACATTTTAAAAAAAGATCTATGCAATTAATTATGAAACACACAAAAAAATGACTGCTTTGCCTGTATTGTTAGTAATAACTGGACATTTTAATAATTATGAACTACTTTCTAGTTAGCCTGAAAACATTTTTTTGTAATGATTACCTCACTTTTTTGATTTTTAGACATAATCAATTTCTAGTTTATTCTCTCCTACAAAATTAGTAAAGTTTTATCTCATTATCAGTCTTACTTAAACTCCTCTTCAGTTTTTTTAAACATAATACTACTCTCAGCATTATGGTGCAAGACTTTTGAGACCCACATTCAAGAAATATTATATGCAATAAATATTAATATAAAACTACTAAACACATCATAGTAAATGGCATTGTAAACCCCAAAAAAGTCATAAAAGTAACTGGAAAATTCAAAGAGCATTAATAACAAACAAACAATAATACAACTTATGATAGACTTTCCAAAAGAAATAATGGAAAGCAGAAGATTATTGAATGGCAGATTCAAAAGTGAAACAAGGCATTTACTGTTTTCTCATTCTATATGCAGAGAAAATATATTTCAAAATGAAATGTGGCATTTTCAGATAATAATTAAGAAAATTTTTCACTAGCAGTACTGCTGTAAACTGTACACTGAGTTCTTCCCATTGAAAGAATTGATCCTATATGTAACTTGTATTAATAAATATATATACGGCTTTAATATATATGTACACATATATATATAGCTTTAATATGATTAAAAAGATTCCTTTCCTTTCTTAGTTATATGAGTATGTTTATCATGGGCCATTGCTAGATTGTGTGATAAATCAGGCACAAAATAAAGAAAATTGTGTAGATAAATCTAAATGAGAGGACTGTGGGAGAGAAAAGACATAGGTTAAGCCATCTCCCCCTCAAAAAATAATAAAATTGGGAAAATTTGTCCAAACAATCATTTCAGGGCTATGAAAACTGATTAAAAGCAAATAACAAATTGAGAAGTATTTATGAAAAGCTGCTATAAAATCAAGTAAGAACAATGAGAGGCTGTGGTCTTCTTGCCTGAGTCTTCTCCCACAGCCTCTCCCAGCCCTGTGAATGCTGTCATTTTACCAGGGCACTTTTGGACATGAAAACCAATACATTTAATGTTAGTGTAGTTGTTCTTGATTTGGTGCAGAGAACAGGAAAAAAAAATCTCTCCCAGCAGCATTTTGAGTTAAAAAAGCAAACTTGATAGGGAATTAAGGTAAAAACAGCATTACTCTTAAGTCTGAGGTTGAGGTTCAAGTTGGGATCAATGATAGAGCAGCCAGAATTTAAGCATAATCCAAGAAAAGAGAGCTCCAAAAAGGGTGGTGGTAAACTTTCCTCACATCGCATTCCTAGCTGACTGGAAGGCCATGTGCATGTGCTGAGGAGACTTGCAAAAGGTTGATTTGGAAGTAACTCCTGAGGAAACTTTAAGTTTGCCCCCATCCCCGTGCTCCCTGATTCACAAACGGAGCCATCTCTCTCTCTCTCTCTCTCTCTCTCTCTCTCTCTCTCTCTCACACACACACACACACACACACACACACACTCCCAGATGGCTTCAATGGTGAATTCTAAACTTACTCTACACAAACTATAGAAAAAAATAAGGGTAAAACACTTTCCAGTTTATTTTATGAGACAGGTATTATCTTAATATCAAAGACAAGCAAAATCATCACAACATAATAAGCATAGATACATAAAGCCTTGACAAATATTAGCCAACCAAATCTAGAATTATATAAAAATGATTATATAATTTTAATGACTAAGTGGGAATTAACCAGGAATACAGGATCAAGTTAATATCTAACAGATTCTAATTCATAGACTATGAAGAGAAAAGTGCATAATCACAGAAAAAGCATTCCATAAAATCCAGTACTGACCCATAATAAACAGTCTCATCTAACCAGGAATAGAAAGGAAGTTCCTTAATCTGATACATCTGTATGTGTAACCGCGTAGTATTATCATGGTTCAAGTTGAAAGATTGAATATCACTCTTTAATCAGAAACAAGGCAAATGTTTCTGTTTTATCACTTTTATGTAATGGGACAAATATTTCTGAGGTAATATATCAAAGCCATGATATGTAAAAACATAAATGAATAAACTAGACATCATCAAAATTGAAATATTTTTCTCTCCAAAAGAGGTCGTCAAAGAAAGAATAAAGGATAGCCAAAAGAAAATATTTATAATTCATATATTGATAAAGATTATATCCTAAATACATAAGCTACATTTACAATTCAATAAAAACAACAGAACCTAATTAAAAAATGGTCTACAGATTTCCCAAGATATTTCACCAGATTTCCCAAGATATTTCACCAAAGAAGATATGCAGATGCCTAATAATCACATGAAAGAGGAGTCATTTCATAAATCAAGGTAAATGTAAATTAAAACCAGAACCACATACCTCTATATAATGGCACAAAAAAGAAAAAGCAAGAAAAAAAGCTGAGGATGTACAAAAGCTTGAACTCTAGAACTCTCATGCATTGTTAATGGTAATGTAAAATAGCACAGTTGCTCTGGAAAATATTATATTTGGGCAGTTTCTTAAAATGTTAAACATATACTTGCTAAATGACCCAGGAAATCTACTTCTAAGTTTACATCCAAGTGCATTTTAAAAAAATGTACGTGGTTGACTTCCAGGCAAAAGGACAGCACAGGTAAACATGGCTTGCCTCTTCACAAAACCACATCAAAATTACAAGTAAATTATAGAACAACCATCACTCATAACTGGCAGAAATCAAGTTGAATGGAAGTCTGACAACTACAGAATTAAAGAAGCCACATCCATCCAGACCGATAGGAGGGGTAGAGATGTGGAACAGGCTGGTCTTACATCCATGTGTGGTGAATAAAAATTCTGGAGGGCTATCTTAGGAGTGAGGAGTCCTAGTGCTGCACCAAGCCCCCCAGCACAGGATTCCAGTGCCAGGAAGATAAGTCTCCACAATTTCTGGCTCCAAAAACCATCAGGGACTGAGTCAGTGGAAGAGACTTTTAGAGTCCCAAGCAGTTCCTCTTAAAGAACTCACACACAAACTTACTCAGACTCATTCCCTCTGAGCTCCAGCACCAGGGTAGCAGCTTGAAGGGCACCAATAGCATACAGGGAGGAACTGAACTGTCTGGCATCAAGGTGAGAACTGGAGGACAACTTTCTCCCAGACAAAAAGGTGGAGAGACCAACAGAGCTGGCAGGTAGGTGCCATATTGGAGACTCCATCAACCTGCTTATACTGTTGCTATGCCTTGGATATCCCCTGAGGTTCCGCCCCACCCAACATACTACCGTTAACAGTGGCTTTTGCATATGAATGGCTGGTCTTGGCTCCTGTTCCACAATTTCCTAAATCCTTTCAAAGAAGTAACAGCTGGCTTCAGTGACCCCCAGTCCCTGTGCCTCTTGCTAAGTGGCCTCAGGCTTGGCACTAGCAGCAGCCAGCCTAGATTCAAGCATAGCTTTGCCTGAGAATCTCCAAATCCAGCACAAGTAGCAGCCATCTCAGATTGCTCTATTGCTCACAGAGGGTGGCCCCAGACAAAACACAGGTTGGGCCAGAACACCCAGTGGACAGCTACAGACCACGTCAGAGCACTACCACCCTGACCCTGCACAACTAGTCCTCCATGGAGGAAGGAGGTGGATGGTCTGTGGTCAGAGCCAGTCCTCACAACTGACTGGCCTGGTTAAATCCCTCCTGTTGACCTGCCAACAGCAACCAAGGCTCAACTAAAAGAGGAGGATGTACTCATCTCTCACAAAGGGCATACCTCAACTACCCAGCTTGGGTGATAGGGGAGGCAGTGCCATTGGACCCTACTGGACATCTACTACATTAGGCCAGTTACCAAGACAGGTTATCATAACAGTTCTACCTAATACATAGAAACAAACACAGGAAGGCTGCCAAAAATGAAGAGACAAACAAAAAATGACCCAAATGAAAGAACAGATCATAATTCCAGAAAAAGAACTAAATAAAATGGAGATAAGCAATCTATCAGATGCAGAGTTCAAAAAACTGATTATAATGATGCTCAAGAAACTTAGTGAGGACCTAAACAGCATAAAAAAGCTCCAATCAGAAATGAAAGATACACTAATTGAAAAAAGAACCATTTACAGGGAAACAACAGTAGAGTGAATGAAGCCAAGAATCAAATCAATTGTTTGGACTATAAGGAAGCAAAAAACAACCATTCAGAACAAAAAGAAGAAAAAAGAATTAAAAAAATGCAGATCAGATAAGCAGCCTCTGGGACAACCTCATTATTCCGATATTTGCATCATAGGGGTGCCAGAAGGAAAAGAGAAAGAGCAAGAAATTGGATATCTATTTGAAAAAATAATGAAAGAAAACTTCCCTGATTTGGTGAAGGAAATAGACCTACCCATCTAGGAAGCACAGAGAGCCCCAAACAAGATGGATACAAAGAAACCCACTCCAGACATATCGTAAGTAAAATGCCAAAGGTTAAAAGCAAAGAGAGAATCTTAAAAGAAGCAAAAGAAAAGAAGTTAGTTACCTAGAGGGGAGTTCCTATAAGACTGTCAGCTCATTTCTCCATAGAAACTGGAGCTTCATCCATTGAGAAATCTCCAGCACAAAACTTTGCAAACCACCACTGATACATTTGATCAGTCACAGCACCTTCTCCATACACTGCACAAATCTTTTTGGTGTTTTGTTTCAGTTGTGTTTTTACCTCTCTTGAAATAAAAAATCATAATACACCAAATATGTTTCTTATTTTCTTCCATCTTCAATACTAAAATGGCTACACAAAAATTTTTCAATTTTGACAAGTTTTTTTAAATGCACACTGATATGACAGCTATTACCATATAATCTAACAAAATTGCTTCAAATTAATTTCAAGAAAACTATGTGCTACTAGAGCCATCTTATGGAAAAAAAGAAAAACCAAATGAACTTTTTGGTCAACCCTATACATTTATCAATTGAAAACTCAGTATTGTTAAGATGACAATTCAGTGCGTGCATGCACACACACACAGACCACACCAACGCAAGTACAACTGATGAAATCTATGGAATAAGGTCTATGAATTTACCAGTTCCAATTTCCTGGTTTTGATATTGTACTACAGGTAAATATAATAAGATGTTACCATTTGGGGAAACCAACTAAAGTGTTCAGGGGGGTTCTGTATTCTCTATTATTTTTGCAACTTCTGGTGACTCTACATTTAGTTCAGAATAAAAAGATACACAGATGGGGTGAAAAGTAAATTTTTCCAAATATAATGGAAAAATTTGAACAGATTCATCACACAGGAGGATACACACATTGACAAGAAAACTTGGGAAGTGCTAAAAATAATTATTAATTAGATAAATGTGAATTTAAACAAAAATAACATAGCTATAATAGCTAAAATAAAACAGACTGACAATACCAAGGAGTACCACATTGTGGAGAAACAAGGACTCTCAGATTCTGTGAATATAAAATGGCACAGTCACTCTGGAAAACAATTGGTCAGTTTATGAAAAATGGTTCATAAGAACTTGTGTGACTCAGCAAAAATAACCCTATGCATCTATCTACCCAAAATAAATGAAACTATATCTTGCCATAAAGACCTAACCTTCCTCAAAGGTTTGTAGCAGCTTTATTTATAATACCTCAAAACAATGCACCACCTAATTGACCATAAATAAGTGAATGAATAAACTATTGTGTTATTTGTGTTGTATATATCATTTTTACTGATATTTAGGATTATTCAGCAATAAAAATATAAAATAGTAATATGAGAGCAATCTATTTGAACCTCAAAAACTATCCTGGGTATATCAAGTATAACACACCAAAAAATGCATACATTAAGAATCAATTTCTATGAAAATTTTGGAAAGACTACATTCATCTATCACTGTTGAGATAGGAACACAGAGATTGGAGAGAATATACTTGCATGATGGAACTATTAGTCAAGTTGTACAGCTAAACTACATTTAACCATTAGTTTGTGTAAATTAAAAGATAAATTCAAGATAAATGAAGACAAAAGACTCAAAGGAGTTTATATGTACTCTATTTTTAGACTGCTATGTTTATAATTGGACTGTAAACAAAACTCTATAAAACAGTAGTGTTTTTAGGTGTTTAAAATGAAAATTAAATTATGTAAAAAGTCATATGAAATAGGAAGAGAAAGGATTATTAATCCTGCTTCATGTCCAAGTAACTAGAATTCAAAAGGGTAGTTTTCTTTTCCAAGACACATGGATAAAAAAGAGTTGCAGCAAAAAATCTGTAGCTACATACATGTTAGGTAGGAAACTATATCTTATCTAATTAATAATAAAAACAATTAAGTATTTAAATGCATCACTTCAATTTATCTGAACTCCTAAATATTTACTAGGCTAAATTTAACATCTATTTACCTTTTAATTAAATAATTTTAAAAATAAGTGTTTAAGGGTCAAAGTCACATTAATAAACAAAAGTAAATAGATTACATACTGTGGAGTTATCACTATGTACATCACTTAAGATGCAATATTCTAACAAAATAGATATTCTCAAAATTATGTCTGATGGATTACTGTGAGCACCTGCTTGTAGCACATGTTAGAACACAAAACTTTTATTTGGACCATAAATTCTATTTGGGATCTTAAAGGCTATCACACACCCATTGTCATGTCAACAAAGTAACCTGCACCAAAAGGGGCAGGAGAGACTAACCCCAGCCCAATATTTACCATGTTCTCTAAATAACTTCCTACTCAGTAAAATATTAGCAATGGGGAAAATCTAGATATCTTAGAGAAACTTTTTGGTGGGGGGAGCAATTTCTTATGACCTGACTTATTCTGCCTTTGGGCAAAAGAGGAAAATGAAAAAAGAAGAAAGCAGCCTCTGACAGGCAGGTGAAGGTCTGATATTAACAGCAAGGCCTTGAAGTTGATACATGCTGACTTGCACTCACTGCTAGACCATGGTGCTTACCTGTTGATCATAGGCAATTACGAGAATGTTAACTTTAGGTAAAGTCATTCTGAGACCATGGTGGTTCATGTCTGAACATAGGGAGACAAGAAATATACATTGTCCAAGTAATAAAATTACCAAACATCCCTGTCATCCAGCTAATATGAGTGACTGTTGTTTTATTACCAATTACAGCTTCAGCTTCAATCTAGTTTTCCTTCCTCATATACAAGATCTATTAAGATATCAGGACACAGGATCGCCTCCTCTTTCTGAAGCCATCCAGTTCAGAGCAAAAATGCAATTCCAAAACCCTACTGAAAATCACTTAACACAAGCTCAAGTCCTACAACAAGTCTCTAAAACTCTAGAACGAAGATATTTCACAGTATCCCATAGTGTGGAGTTTCACTGACTGCAAGGTGTGAGAAACCCAACTTGTTCAACTACAGGTTTATTCCCGATGGTCTTTGGCTGGAAGACATTGACAGAGAACTTGACCTAAAAATCATTTCTAGAGTTAAGACGTGGGTTGAAGGGGATTCCAGTTAGGGTAGAATTCTAATCTCTCTCTCTCTCTCTCTCTCTCTCTCTCTCTCTCTCTCACACACACACACACACACACACACACACACACACACACACACACACACACGGCTTTGGAGTATAAACAGAAAGGGAAGAATTATATGATAATTGAGCCTGAAGAATGAAAACTGCATATGAGATATTTTATATTGTGGCTTTTAAAAAAATTCATGAGAACACATTCAATCTTCTAAGCTTGAGTAATCAAAAGGTAGAATGAGAAGATGGGCGTAAGTGTCAATTTTCTGACTGGAAATTAAGAGGCACTAGTCCCTGAGATGTACATATAGACTTCACCCTTAATCCTGGCTGACCACTGAACTAAGCATGTGCAGTGAAGACTCCAGGGAACTCATAAAATGCATTTGAAGAGACAAATGAATGAACACTGTTTTCAGTTGCTGTTATGTTAAATCCCTTCCATATCAAGATGTGTAGCCTTTTGAAATGCATAAGTGAATGCAGAGTTTCCACTATACATTATTCATAGTATCCAATATAAAATAAAAAATTGCTTGGCATAGTCAAGGAGCAAATAAATCATTCGATACCAATATCAAATGACCTAGATATTGCAATTATCAGAGAAGTAATTTTTAGCAACTAACATAAAAATTGCCAGTAATTTCAAAGAACATATAGTCACAACAGTTAGGAGGTTTCCTTCAGTCAGTATATGTTTTAGCAATTGTGAAACAAACTTCTGTGTATTCTGGGTTTGAGTATATGAAAAAGCAACTTATATATGTACTATGATGTACTTTCTGGTGTACATACTATGTATCAGTCCCATTCTAAGTACTTTTCATAAGTGATCTGAATTCCACACTGGTACCAGACCAACGATGTTAGTAAAATTGATATTTATATTTATATATAATAAAAGTAAAACATATATCTAAAGCAAAGCAATGTGGTTAGGATTTGAAACCATGATGTCTAGCTGCAGAGTACATACTCTTAAACACAGTGCTTTATTACTTCCTGGATAGTAAAAATTCATGTGTTTTCATTTCAACACTATAAGAATGGCCATCCTTTGTAAAATTAAAGTGACAGCAAGTAAGTCAAAGTCTGTGGAAAGATATATGGGGTAATTTGGATATATGAGAAAAAAAGTACAGGCATCTTGTGTGTCAGACATTTATAATTTGATTAAACATAGTCTTCCTTCACGAGCAGGTGATAATTTTATTACACATAAACTCATCTGGTGGTATTTTCAAATTCAAGGCAATAAGCTTTCTCAGATATATTTTATAAAACGTACTTAGTGGCACACTTCGTGTATCCTGAAGTATCTGAACCACAGTTCCCAGATTCATCAGCCATAGAATTAAGGTATTGAATACACTCTTCAGGGCCCTGATGTGCCTCTGAAAAAAACGTGTGATTAGTAATATTGAACTTATATTAATTTAAAATAATTGACAAAGACATTTAACACTTTAAAATAGGTTAAAAATCTATTACACAAAATAAGATTATAATATAAATCAAAAATAAAAACTATGTTTAAGATCACACAAAACCACTTCAATGAAATATTTACAAGTTGAAAGCACTCTTGTTTACTATCCAGATACCTTAGATATAAACATGGTACGCAGTTTATCTTTTAATTTTCAGTAAGTCTAGAAATACATATAGATAAGTATTTAAGAAACTTTAAAAAAATAATTGACTTGTTGGTCCATAATTTGTGTTTGCATATATGTCTTTTTAAGTCAAGCCACTTAGCTAATACTTTGCTTTTTTCCTCATAATTTTCTCAGATCCCAAAATCTTGAAGCCAAAATTTATTTTCTTCACATTCACTATCCAATCCACGAACAGAATGTGTGTAGTTCTCATAAAATTCAACCAATTTAAAGAGCAGTTTACTTAACTATAACCCACCATTATCAGCTCTAATGTAGTTAATGGATTAAGACAAAACCCTCTGATAAGATTTAACCACTGGATTGTCATGCTGAAAAGACACACCAGGAAAAAGAGCCCCAGTAGACACATCAGGATCTCATCTGAAACTCCTAGAAGCAATAATGAACTAAAAATATGCATTTGATTTTTGTCCAGACGTCATTTGCAACCCTGGAATGGATGAGATGTCAAAATTGTAAGACTAAGAAGAGAAGCAGGCCATTGCTGGAGGACATAAAATAAGCTTAAGCTGGAGATCTTTCATAGCTAGAATGACAAAATTAGAGACTCAGGGGCCTCAATGTTTACGTTAGCCCCTTTCAAGATTTGTTCCTGCTTCTAAAACATATAAAAAGCAGGAGATTAAAAGATAAAGAGATGACATCTGTAAAGCAGTGCGGATTTTTCTGCAGTTTCTGTGCAGTACCTGCCAGGGAGTGAAGTTTTCGTATATGTACCACCTCTCAGTTGAAAAACCTGGAGAGTTATGCCCTAGAAGCGAGAGTGTACTGGATGTAGATTGAGCCTTATCTAAACTCTAACCTTAACAAAGGTCAGTTTCTGATTTACTTAATTAGCTTCAGGTCATGTAACAAAAAGACACATGATAGTAATATCTACACAAGAGAAGCATCTAGCCTGAAGACAGGTCTTCTCAAAGGCAGAAATTAAAGATGGAGACAGTGAAAAAAAAACTTCAATAGAAATGTGTTTTTACATCTAAAAAACCACCAAGAAAGACTGTAAAATAAAATCATCTATCTTTTCAAACTAATTGAGTAAGGGAACCATGGTACATATACACTAAAACATGCCTCTTAAAGACTTACTGGAACCCTTTCAAGCCCACAGAGAGGGGGTGCGATCTCTCACTCTGCCACGCTCCAGAGTACTAGTATCTTTAAGATGGTGCCCTGGATTTTAAAGGGTGCTCCAGTTTTGGGGGCTGCAGCCCAGGGGATGTCTGTCCCTAAATCATCTGGCTCTGGAGACTAGGGGAGCTTTCATTCCTGGGTGACATGGGATGGTAACGATCAGAAAGATAGTTTTTGGCTGGCTACCACCCCCAGGGCATTGAATAGACAGCAGATAAAACACAGGATCAGTCTTTCTGTACAGGAGACCACTTTGCTTGTACTTGAGCTTTGGCCTGTGGTGAAGGCATCTGGTTTGGCACACATCTAGGGGCCTACTCATGTTCTCTGTGTGGGGCGATGGCGGTGGACATCATCTGTGAGCTCTGCCTTTTTTTTTGTCTCAGCTGTCCAGTGTCTCTCAGAAAAGAGATTTACCCAAAGAGATATAAGCCAATTCCTTAATTTTGATAGGTAGGTAGATGACAGATGACAATATACGTATTCATATATTGTTACATATACTATACAAGAAAAGAAAATACAATAATTGTGTTTGCTACAGATTTAGTTTCTCTAGGGACATCCTGGCTAATACAGTTAGTAGGACAAAAGAACTTGTGATATTTTAGCTGAGAATATTCTTATTCTTCCTCAGTGCCATGGTAGCCAAAAGCCAGCAGCCTTACTGAAATGGTATGATCTATTTTGAACTTTTGCAAAAGCACCATATCCAAGGCACATTGCTGATTTTTGCCAACTTTTCAATAATGGCTAGAACAAATAGACAGGAGATCAGTAAGAAAATACAAAATGAGAGCAACACTACAAATAAACCACACATAATAGATATCTACAGAACACTATCCAACAATAGCAGGATACCTAATCTTCTCCATGCATTTGGATGATCTCCAAGACAGATCACACATGACGCAAGAAAATCTAAACTACAAAGAATTAAAGTCATACAAATTATGTTCTCTGAATACAATTAAATTAAATTTAAATATCAATAATAAATACATAAGGAAAATGCAAAAATGTGTAAATTAAAGAACACACATTTAAAATAACAAAAGCATCACAATTTCCCATGAGATTCCCAAAAAATCTCATGGGAAATTAGAAAATACTTTGCAATGAATGGAAATGAAAACATGGCATACAAAAATTCGTAAGAAACTTTGAAAACAGTACTTAGAACGTTATAACTGTAAATATTTAAATTAGGAAAGAAGGAAGATTTTTTTTACTTCAAACATTTAATATTTATTTAAAAAAAACAATGTTACCACTAGTATTATTTATAATAGCAAGAAATTAGAAATAATCTAAGTATCCAGTTATATGGAAATCGCTAAGAAATATAATAGTACCATTAATTTTTTAATTTTTTTAAGTGATTCTTTTTTGTTTTATTTCTTTTATAAGGTATATCTTCATAAAGATCATAAATTAATGCTATACACCTTGAGAAACTTCCTACTTCTGGTTCTTTCTTTCTTTTTTTTTTTTTTTAGTTTTTATTTTTTGTTCAAATACATTTATCTCCAACTTCCTGCCACCACCTTCCCCTGTACCCTTCCCCCATTTCCCTCCCTCAATCCTTCCCCACTTTGGCTTTGTCCATGAAGATTTAAAATCAATAACCTAGCATTCCATCTTAAGACACTGAAAAAGGAGAATTCTAAACATTAAGCAAACGGAATGAAAAAAGTAAAAGGGGTTATAGCAGAAATAATAACACAGAACAGACAAGTGATAAAGAATATCAACAAAATTAAAAATTTCTTTGAAAAGTTCAACAAAATTGATAAATTTTATTAAGCAGAAAATACTCTCCCCTCCTACTAAAAACCTGAGTCCAAATGTCTTCAGTGGTGATTTCCACAAAAATTTCAAACAATTAAGTGTATCATGGATGCTCCCCAAAAAATATGAGTAGGAAGTACTTCCTGAATCACTCAATGAGGATTGATACTAAAACAACCCAAAGACATTTCAAGAAAGAAAAATTTGAGAATATCTGTCACAAATGTAGACATAAAAACCCTCAAGAAATCTACAGACTAATACCCCTTATAAGCATTAATTTTTAAAAAACAAACAAAATACTAATAAACTGAATTCTAGAGCATGTTAAGAACATTATACATCATTACCAAGTGGGATTTATTTCTGAAAGGCAAGGATCATTCAAAATACAAGAAAGTAAATAAATAAATAAATAAAATAAATCAATATATTACACCAAAATAGTAGAATGAAAGGAAAAAAACTCACCACATAATCATGTTAACTGAGCCAGAAAAAACATTTCACAAAATTCACCACCTTTTAATGATAAAAGCACTCAACTTACTAGGAGTAGAAGGAAAGTACTGAATATAAAAAAGGCCATCTATAAGAAACAGACATTGAAATAATACTCGCTGGTGAACAACTGAAAGCTTTTCCTCTATGATAAGGAACATGACAGGGATATCAGCTTTCATTCCTTCTGTTCAACATAGTACTGGAAGTCTTGACTGTCAGAGCAATAGGAAAGTAAAAGAAATAATATAATCTAAATTGAAATAATAGAAGCAAAATTATCTGTAGTCACAGTTGCCATGATCTTTTATATATCAAAACACCCTAAAGTTACACAAACACATACAAACTTGTTAGAACTAATAAATTCCGCTAGAACTAATAAATTCAGCTAAGTTTTAAGACACAAAATTAATGTATAAAGATCAGTTGCACTTCTATATGTTAGCAATGAAAAACCCCAAAAGGAAATTAAGTAAACAATTCCATTTTCCATAGCATCAAAAAAATTAAGTTTAAAATGGATTAAAGAGGTAAAAAACCAGTACAGTGAAACCCACAAAATTTTGCTGAAATTAAGGGAGAGAAATAAATGGAACACATCCCATGATTATGGGTTGAAAGGCAACATATGAAGATGTCAATATGACCCAGAGTGATCTACTGCTTTAATGCAAACCTATCAAAACACCAACTATGTGTTTGTGCAGAAATGGAAAATCAGTCCTAAAATTCATATGAAATCTCAAGGGACCTCAATGTGACAACAATCTTGAAAATAGAAATTGAACTTGGAGGTCACGTTTCCTGAATTCAAAACTTACTGCAAAAGCTATTGTATTGAAAACAGCATGGTACTGGCATAAACCCAGATATATAAGGATTCTGAATAGAGATCCTGAAATAAACTCTTGCTTATATGGCCTATAATTTTTTAGAAGGGTGCGAAAACCATTCAATGGGAAAGGACAGTCTATTAAATACTGGTGTAGAGAAAAGTAGAAATTCACATGCAAAAAAAAATGAAGTTGAATATATGACATATAAAAAGTAACTCAAATGGATCAGATACCTTAAATTAAGAGCTAAAACTATAAACTCTTAGAATAAAATGTAGAGGAAAAGCTTTTTGATACTGGATTTGGCATTCATGTCTTGAATATGATACCAAAAAGCATTGGCAAGAAAAGAAAATATCAATCAAAAGTTTATCGAGCTGTTGTGCATGAAAATCAACAGAATGAAGTCAATTCACAGAATGTAAGAAAATATTTTAAATGTAT